ACAATTTTATAGGTACTTTTTTAGCGTATATCACAGCACAAGAATTTGTTGCTTATACAACATATTATGTCTGTAAACAATAAGTCGTTTACATATCAATTTACAATGGTGCGGCAGTCATGCTACGCGCATCGGTACATGTTTAAAATATATATCGAGGTGAAACATTTTCTATTTCGAGATTCATAAATTCAATAAAAATCTATTTCCTCGCTCTAGATTGTTCTTGATAAAAACAAATAAAAAAGCAGATTTTTTTTATTTATATGAAAAGCAAAAATATTCAGAAAAATTATAAGGAAAGAAAATTTAGTAGCCTATATTCTACAACGCACGCTATTTTATAAAAGAATAAATTTCGTAGAAAAGCCTAGAAAATGGAATTTGTATTTTGAAAATTTCTAAAATTATAATTTAGAAAAGATTATTTTAAGTAAAATATTTTACGTCGGTTTTGTTAATTAAAAATTTAGAGTAAAAATTTTGAATCAATTTATTTATAATAAATAATAGGCATACAAATATGTACGTATATTTCAAAAATGTCAGTTAAAACTTTTTAAGCTTTTATTTGAATTCGTATAACGTTTTATTAATACTCTGTTATAATACTGTTTATTAATGAATAAACAAGCTAGAGATCACAGATTGAAAGGAAGCACTGATAAAACCGACCGTCAAGAAAATATCTACAAGCACTGGCTTGTGTAATTGTATGAACACCGTTGGCTACAGCCGTCTCTCGAATTTCTACACAAACGCTAAGGGAAATAAAGCTGCCTCTAAACAGTCTCATGCGTGCGTCTGCTCCGACCGCTACCAATTCAAACCGGTGCCGCGATCCTGACGGCTACTCGAAGTGCTACCACCGCGAACCCTTTTCTCGCGTCAAGCTTTGACGCCAAAAAGAAATATTCCTCGTATGTAAAGTGTCAGAACTGCGAGAAGTTGGACCACATTGTGCACAAGGCTTTCGGCCGTCGCTATACCGTGACAAAACTGCGAAAACTTGTTCCTCGTGTTTCTCGGAAGAAAAGTCGTTTGAGCGGATTTCTACCGTTGGGATCGAGACCCGTAAATCTCTTATTGTAATCTCCCGAATTATTTGAGACTCTCATCGTTATTTTCTATTTTAATATTTTCGTACGAGCCCCTGGCCTTGGTCGGACTCGGGATCCAGTCGTAAAGTAAGACCGCACCGAAGATCACAGTGAGATGGCGAACAAGACCTTATCATCAAAAAACGACACTGTGGTCAAGATACTATGGGAGTTTTACGATTACTTTCATGGAAGTGATAAGGACTACCTATTGATTATGCTCTACGCACCAACTGTGCTAATCGGTGTGATAGCTAACATTTTTGTAATTATTATGATCTGCAAATATCATTTAAAAAGGTATGTGCGGAGTTCTTTTAATTTGGTTCAGAGTGTACTAATTATAATATCGAATTATCTAATTAATCTAATATATTCTGATGTTCGTAAAAAGGTAAGACGCGAAATTAGCATCTGTATCTACCAAATTTTATATTTTTATTAATTGAATTATATTATGCTGCATTTTTGACAGATTTTTGGTGATTGTTTCAAACCTTTTTTTTTATCAAATAAATAGAGGTACAAACAGATCAATGAATTGTATTATAAATTTTTATTTTTATAATGTCGGGATCATAGATTCACATTCTCGAACAATACATCACCGGTAGCCGAATTCATTAGATAACGAAATTGAAGAGCAGACGATGCGAGATGGCTTTCCCGAGTGGCTCATTGTGACCTTACTGTATACGCGATTTCCGTGGCACTTGGCGTGGGAGCGCGAATTTCTGGTTGAAAAATAATCGGAGAGCTACTACCGGCAGCTGCTGCATCGTCCATTATGAATGCATCGCGAACAGTTTGTTTGCATGATACGATGCTACGCCGCGTATTCGTATATAAGCCGGAAATAAGCGACCACGGATATATGCAGCGCTTATGTGAAATACCTGAGCAGTTACGAGCACTGCACCAGAATATATTTTTCATTAGAGCAATAATTCGCATCTTCTCCGCAGTCGGGATTAAACGAGCAATCTCGATCAAGATTAATGTTTCTATAATACTTAACGCCACGCGAGTATCGTGTTAAATTTAGAACACTATTGACTAAAATTTTTTAAATATAAAAGCTTTTAATAAATTGTACACTCGTTTGATTGTCATAAAAAATGATTTAATAAATTTCCGAAAATAAGAACGTAAGATTACGGAGCTTTTCACCAATTTCGTACACTTATCAATTATCTTAATTATCTTAATTGAAGTTAATTTGTTAACTCTAAACATTTTTTTCAGTATTATAAAATATTTATTAAATATTATTAACGGAACAAGAACATATCATATAAAGAATAAAGATACAATTTTTTTTCTTTTTTTACAGCGTTACAAATTATTTTGTGATCAATTTATCCGTGGCTGATTTAATAGTTGCTACAATATGCATGCCGATGACAATCAGCCAGGAAATATCGATGTCATGGAATCATAGTGAATTCCTATGCAAACTGAATTCTTATCTACAAAGTAAATATTTCTACAGTCGAGAAGTATAATTCAATAATTCATCATCCAATCTAATCGCATTGATCATATTATTCGAATGCATTTTTTATTTCATTGTGTAAATAATATTGCTGATTTTTTAATAATTTTCTGTACTTATATTTTCTGCATGTCATTTATTTATATACATAAAAACATTACAAGCACAAATGCATTATATCCAATTAGAAAGAAAATTTATATGTGCATTTATATATAAAATTTATATAAAAATATATGTATATTAAATTTATGTTTACAAATTTATATATGTCATAAAATATATATACAGAGTATTTTATGACGTATATAAATTTCCTAACAGTATATAAATTTTTTAATTTCATAACCACTCGTGTTTGCAACAGGTGTAGGTGTTATTGTCTCGGTATACACTATTACCGCTATGAGCATAGATAGGTATCTGGCCATAAGAAAACCCATGATTCTCCGTTGCATATGTAGTCATAGGAACATCATTCTCGTTATCGTGGGTATTTGGCTGACGTCCATGGCTTTCTTTATTACGATTTACGAAGCAGTAAGTCATCTAGATTATAACCTAAGTCTGTGCTGATTGACGAATCGTAGAAACTAATGATGAAATAGCTGATGAAAATTTTTACATCTTTATTTTATATATCATATATATTTGACACTATCAGTTTCACCTCTTCTCATCCCTTTCCCGTAGATGAAATTCCATAATCCAATGAAGAAAGTTATCAATATGACTCTAGACTTGATGGCAAGTGAGAATTTTTCGCATAATAGCATCTCGCCGATGCCGCCAGACTTCAATATGTGCACGGAGGATCTCACGTCACTGGGAATCCGACAAGACGTCTTCGGGAACGTATGCTTCCTATTCTCTACCGCTTTTCCATGTAAGATCATAAATAAATGTATAAAAACTTTATTATTCTCTCATAAAATTACGCGGTGAATTTCTGCTTTATATCATTTTATATAAACGTACATGTCGGATTCTTATACATTCAGATTGCCATGCATAAATCTTAAATCTACAACCTAAATTTAAATTTAACTGTATATACACGCGCGGGAGCGCGTGCTTGCTTATGCATCTTCCATTTTGGTTTTCTGTACATAATGCTTTCTGAGTAAAGGCGACTGAACTAGTGTACTTGTAGTTACTTTTAGTAAACAAGGGCAGTATATTATTTTTTAACATGCGTTTATTTTTACACAAGCATACGTGACTGGAATAAGTACTTTGCAAAATTATCTGTCTTTGTTTTTTTTCCTTTCACATGTTTTCTTATCGTGTGTTTAGGTCTCATTGTATTACTAGCCTACTCGTTGATTGGCTTCACTCTTTGGTCTGGAAAGCCACCCTTCGACTGCGATAACAGGGAAAGCATCAGCTCGCGACAGGTTAGATCAATGAGAGAGCTTCTAAAATTTTGTAATTTAACAATTTTCATTTTAGAGTTTCTTAAAAACTCAGCCAAAAATTCGTAGAATCTATTCTCGTCATGCTACCTTTACCTTTTGTTCTACAGGGCTCCAGATTACGACAGGACAGAAAACGAGTTGCATTGATGTTACTATTCCTCGCTATACTTTTCGGTCTGTGCTGGATGCCCTATAATATTGTCAAATATTTGATTGACGTTAATGTTATTGGTAAGTGCGAGCTTGCAAAAATTTTTATTTTTCAAAGATATTTATAATATTTTGCAATTGAATTAAGTAGCCTAATATACTTCCCATTTTTACTAGCTTGACTATATAAATGGTGTCCAAGTAAATTTTACGATGAAGTCTAATAATAAAAATATGCGATCTTTTCCATATCGTTAAAACATGATAATCAGATTAATTTTTCTCAATTTCTTATACGCTTTGTTCATAGATCCAACAACATCGACAAACGTCACGCTGAAGTACTTCCTGTTTCTGGGACATGCAAACAGCGCCATGAATCCTGTGATTTACTGTTGGATGACTCGCGGTCTTCGTCAGAATCTCGCGAGAATTCTACATTGCGTATCCAGTAATTTATCGCAACATGATCCTTCCCGAAGAGTAAATCAATTACATATGCGTGTTTTTTTTGTAAATACTCAATTTTATTGCATGGTAGTGAAATTACTATAAGATAATTTATGTTCCTAAAATTTTATATTTTTAGTTTCTTTTTAAGAAATATATAGTTCTAAAACAAAGAGGTACATTCGGTATCGACGATTTTAGACGTGAAAGAGATTTTAGGAATATCGTAAAAAAAATATATATATATATATAGATTTAACATAATATTTTTGACAATCATTATCCTATTATTGTCTCATTCTACTTTAAAACGTCAAAATTGCAAAACACGATATTTTCTCCATTAAGGACATCTTTACTTTTTTTAATTCCATGTCTGACGGACAATATCAAATTTGGCGTCGGCGCTTGCTTGCCACGCGACACGCACGAAAATTGATAATTTCTTCCGATACTGTTGCAGAACGCAATGACGATCGCTGACGACGACGTGCCACAGATTCCAAAGCTGATAAGAATGCGATGTGCTATTCTGACAGAGCGACAGAAGGAGTTCACATCATCGTGCATGTCACTTCAACAGTTCTTCCCGGCGCACTGCAGTAGAGAGCATCCGTATAACGTGAAATGTATCAACATCGAGATGAGAAATATCTGTGACGCTTCGAACGTACAGAATGATTCGTCGAAGAGCAACAATAGGCGGGATCAACAGCAGAATAAAGACAAGAACGAATTGAAGACCAGCCGGCCAGAGTCGGGCACCCTCTGTACCACAGACGGGCGACGTTAACTGCTCCTCTGCCAATCATCCTCCTTCTAGGGATAGGTCATCTGTTAATTGTCAATTGCTTCCCATTTGAAAAGATTCCTTGCTTTTTCCCTTTTTTTTTATTAAAACTTTATTCTCACAATACGAATGTAGCACGCAACGAGTCTGTGCGCTATCGATCATCGCTGCACAATGACATTACGACACAATGTATGATACAATGGGATTTGTACACTAAACCGATGACAGATCTACCTACGAGTGGTGATGCGTGCGTGCATGTATATATGCGTGTGTCTCGTGTATGTACGTGTTCATATATTCACGTTATACAAATAAAAATGTCATAGAAAAATATGTATGGTCATATGCACCGCTGCATGGCCCCACATGAATCCGTATATCGCTTACGTCCTAAAGCTCCCATTACATTCTTCGTATTCCCACGGGAATGATCCCCGCAGTCTCCACGCAATTTCTGCCTCTTATTTTGTTTCTGCTGTTCGTTCGAAATGGACGATTGAAGACAAACTCCCAATTGCGGGAAAATACCAAAGAGAAAAGATGTTCGTTTTCCTTTCCATAAAAAAAAATTCGATCTCTTATTGTCTTATCATACGATCTCGCTTATTGTCGTATTTTCATGATAGAAAAGGGAAGAGAAAGCATTTATACATGCTCGTTTGCCTCTTCGATATTTTACATAGTATAAAAAGTAGGCCACAATATGAGGTAGTAGTAGTGATTTCCAAAGATCATATTATTACTTTCAAACTTTGATATTTATGAGATCGCCTGTGACTGACGGTTCTCGACCCGTGGGAACTCGAAATACCGAGAGCACACTGATATCGTTAATTATACATTTACTTTGTGTAAAACTTGTTTATTTACTCAGGAACCTGGTATCGCGTTCGCATGAGGCGGCATGCTTCTTGCACGAGGATGAGCGAGCGAACGCTAGGATAATCTACGACGACTGCCAGTTTCTTATAATCGCGAAATTATCAATATAAATTTTCTTTCAATTTTTACAATTATTTGCATTACAGCAGATTATAACACGAATATATAAAAAAGGTTGATTAAATGTAAATTATATATATAATTACTACAAAATATTGCTTGCATTGCAGCAAACTACAAGACAGTATATTAAAAAAAAAAATTATCCATCAAATGTAAATTATATATATATATATATATATACATATATATATATATATATAATTATTACAAAATAGATCTATAGAAGAAATAGAGAAAGAGGTGTGATATTCTTTGAAAATGTTGCGTGTTTCGCGTCGACCTAAGTTGAAAACGCTTTGACTGCAGATTTTTTTCCGGATTCCGTCCGCAAAAATCCCCGAGACGGTCGAGAGCGCGTCATCCCTCCCGTGGAGAAAAAAAATCTCCATGAGAAGAACTCGCGTGTATATAATCTGTTCTACGCGCTTCGGCCCTCCCGCGTGATCTTCTCGACAGAGAAAGCAAAGCGATCATCGCGCGACTGTCCCGTCCGATCGTGATCTTCATCCCCCGCGAAGCCTACCCGCCGCACACTCACCATCCTACAGTCCCGTTACAGAGATCCTTGTAAACTGACTCCGCTATCACGCCGTGGCTCTGACTGTGGCTGTTCAGGAACCTCGACTTGTCGCACGTCGTCGACGATCTCTTCTGGCCGACGTAGCCGGCGTCGAAGCTGTGCCGCGCGTGCAGTAATCTGTCACCCTGACCGCGCGGCGCCGCACTCTTCACTCGGTTGTTGGTCGTCGCGGCGTCCGCGACGGCGAACGATCTGTCGACGAGATTGTCCCTGCTGCGGCAAGCGGTGCGGCTTTGCACGCGGGGATGTTGCTGCGTCAGCAATGGCACCGTCTGATTCAGATAGTTGCGGATGGTCTGCGAATGCTGGCTGACATACGGCGGCGATTCCGGACTGCTGACTCCATCCCCCGCCGTCGTCCTGACGTTCACGGTCCTGACGACGGTCCTCGCGACATTGCCGGGCTGTCTGACAATGTTCGTACTGTCGCTGATCCTGATCAGCTTCGCCGGCATCGTTCTAGGCCGATGATCGTCGCCGCGACAATTGGCGGACGCGGAGGCGAAGGGCCTCTGCGCCTGGGTGAGGATCTGCTGCCTGCCGGCTCTTCGTGGCTTGGCGGCGCGTTGTGCCGTTGCTGCTAATTGATTCGATCTGCCTCCGGCGCCGTACTGAAATTGAAAAAATTCCGATGGGCACACGACGGGATCTCGAGCGCGACGCGAATGATACGCGGCAGCATGAATCGATTGCGATCATCTTGATGGACATACGGCGATCAGCAGGCGCATCGACAAGAGTGTGGAGTAGTTTTTTATTTTTATATACATGATGAAAATCGAGGAAGGTTTTACCGAAGCGGTTAACTCCGCGTGTAGATGACGCACCATGGAAAAGCACACTCCAGTATTTTTGTTTTGTGCAATATTAATAATTTGTTACGGTTGAAATTGCAAATTAATTTCATAAAATCTCTTATATTATTCTGTCATTATTTAAAATTTATCGTTTTTATCGGGATAATGAATTGCCTAAATTGAGGTAATTATGTGACTATATTACGGGATTATAAGAGTTACAACTTCCAAACCGAACGCGCCGAACGTAGCGTGCATAAATTAAATGAATTAAATGCAATCTCCTAAGTGGTGCGTAAAATGAGCGGTCACAGTACCTACTAAACGCAAATCCCACACGACATGCAGCCTGTAATAACAAAATTTACCGTTTACCTTCCTGCGTAAGATGACTCTTGACTAAGGGGGCGACAGAGCAAACAGTGGGAAAGGAGAGAGTGTGAGAAAATAATGGTTACACTCACCATGGCCATCTGATCCGACTGAATGGAACGTTGGGACTTTGACAGCTGCGAGTGCTGCTGCTGTTGCTGCTGTTGCTGCTGATTAAAGTAAAAGCAACTCTTGGCCGTTGCCGGAGGCATGTTTCCGTTGGTCAAGTTACAAGCGTACTGTGTCGCCACGTTCCTAACTGTCAATCGATCGCAAATGCGGTTGAAAGTTGGTATAATCTCAACGAGAGTTTAATTAATTCCGATGTTACAGTCACGCCCGTGAATTAATCTCCACGTTTATCCGCAAAGCTTTAAGTTGATACAGGAGATACTATTATTGTGAAATTCTTACCATTGTGCCGGGTATTTGTTAAGGTCTCCTGTGCCGGCGCCTCCATGGAATTGTTCATCGTTCTTGCAACACCGCGAGCAGTATTATCATCTTGAGATGGCCTGATTGTCTTCTTGCTTGGCAACGACGAGCACGCTGAAAAGAAAATAGTTTGCGGGAAAATAAATTAAAAATTAATAGAATCGCAGGAGATAAAAGAATCTCGTGTAATATATTCCTCTCACCGACAATCGCGTCACCTTGACCGATCACCGGATTACTTCTGCTGTGACTGGTTTCTTTCCTAATGCTTTCAGACAATCGCCGCAGCCTGGATTTTGACCTATAGAAATGCGTTGACGCGAGAAAAAGAAGAAAATGATTAATATATGAAACATATAAATATATATCTAATTGTGTTTTAAAATTATTTTTTATAATGGAGAAAACCGACTACGTCATATTTGAATTAAGCAACGCAATCTCCATTATGAAATAATAATCGCTGGTTGGCGAATAAATATGTGCTCACATATTTTTGTGTTTTCGATGCTTTTCGTCCATCATCGCGTAGAGCTTATTTCTATATTCGTCAACTGAGAGCTGCACGTCATCACTTAATAACGGTACAACGCTGGAGCCTCTCTCCGGTTCATTTCCCCTTCTGTGAAAACTGTTGAAAAGGAATAATTTAGATTTAAAGATGTGTTTTAAATATAATTTAGATTCTGCAGCAAGAAATTAAAAAAAAATTATTTTTTAATTTCTTGTTGCAACATTTAAACCATATTTAAAACACAAAATAAATTTGATTTTAAACATATCTACTTCCTGCAAAATTATACATAAAAATACTCACTCGGCGACATACGGATGCTCTAACGCTTCGACTGCGGTAAGCCTTTGCGTGGGGTTGAAAACTATCAAATTGGCAATAAGGTCCAAAGCTTTCTCCGACACTTCCGGCAGCAAATCTTTTAAAGCCCGTCTAGGTCTATTGGGTGTCTTTTCCAACAAACTGGTTCCGTAACCGGCGCTGACCGAGATTAGATCTAAAAAAATCATTGCGAGGGAGTCCATCCTAGTCACTGGGATTTCCTTTTTCTCTTTTTTCTTTATTTTACTAAACAGTTGAAAGTGAAAAGAATTACCTTCATCTGTCGGTGGTGGTAAGGTTGTCATTATTCTCTCGACTTGGTTTATCGTCGACGAGCCGGGAAAGAGAGGCTTTCCAAGTAGCATTTCACCAAGAATGCAGCCTAAGGACCACATGTCTATCCCCTTTGTGTATCTAAAAATATTTATATTGCCACAAATAATAGAATCTGATTCTTGCAATGTCGAAAAAAAAATTCTTTAAAAGATGGCATTAAAAAAGTACGAACGATATATGTAAATATACATACAGATATTTTCTATAACATTAAACTCTATCATTAAATTATTATAAGTAAATTTTATTTTTGTAATATTAAACTATTATAAATTATTGTTGATAAATCATCATCTATTTAAATTAATAATGATGTTTCCCTCAATTTTAATCAAAACTACTCTTATTCATACACGGAGAGAATTTCCTTTTAAAATTTACCCTGAAAATCATGTTAATTGTGAGACAATATAGTATTTAGGTAAATTTTACTGTGCACTACAATAAATTTTACTGCGAAATCTTATTGTAGTGCACAGTAAAATTTGCCTAAATACTATATTGTCCCATAATTAACATGATTTGCAGGGTAAATTAAAAAAAAAATTCTCTCCGTGTACTATCAATGGAAACGCGAATTAACTCCTCACAACGTTCCGGACGGAAGCAGGCCAAAATGATATTTCAGAGTTCTGTTACGGTTACAATTTAATACGGCATTTCATAATTTTGTTCCAATTTAACTAAATAAACGTGTACCTCTTTGAAGCTATGAGAATCTCTGGTGCGCGATACCAGCGAGTAGCGACGTAGTCCGTCAGAGTTGGATCACTTCCCGTCTCGCCGTCACCCTCACCGATCTGCGTAACTGATCGCGCCAGACCAAAGTCCGCGATCTTGCAGTGGCATTGCGCATTTAGAAGGACGTTGGACGGCTGCAATGAAAGAATAGCGCAAACTCGACATAATGGAACAGTGCATTTTCCTCCGCCACGAATAGACACAACAAATTAAAAGTTTTGTATGAAAAGTTAAAAATTAAAAAAGTGCTTTACGAATCATAAAAAATTTTGCGCAATTTATGTAATTTAAAAAAAATTATAATTATACCGCACATAAAAATTATATAAAATTAGAGTTATATTGTGAAAGTTTCTAGAAATATTTTTTTTTAATAATCAAAAATTCACGGAGACTTTTTAAGTGCTTTTAGAATCACAAGACTCAGCATCACCTTTAAGTCTCTGTGGATAACGTTGCCCGAGTGTATGTACTTGATCGCCTTAAAAAGTTGGTACATAATGAAGACCTTATGGATGTCCTTGAGGATGTTGCCCCGCTTAATGACGTTGTGGAGATCGGTTTCTGGGGAAACGGGCCGAAACGTGTTTCAGGCCAAAAGTCTGAGAATCGGCGCACATATCGTAACCTTCGTGTGCGTATTTGTGTGCGAATTCTTCTTCGGACCGGGTAAAACTCACCCATGTATTCGAAAACGAGATAAATGTCCCGATCGTTGTCCGCCTTATGCAGTCCGATCAGCTTTATAATGTTCTCGTGATTGGCGAACGACAGTAAGAACATAATCTCGCGGAACGTACGCTGCGCATCCGTCTGATTTCTGAAAGCGTCGAAGATCTTCTTCACCGCGACGGTGTCCTTCCTTCTCTTCTCGATCGCTTTCCATACTATACCATAAGCCTGTATAAAAAAAGGGAAAGACTAAACAATATTACAGTTATTAGAAAATCGATTTAAAAAATCGGAATTTTTTGTAATCTTTTTCCATATATTCTTATCAAAATTATGATTATTCAATAAATTCTTAACAACATTTAAGCAAGTGTACGTTAATGTAAACACGGATTTTATATATAAAATAATTTTATATAGTCATATTTTTTTTAATTTTCTTATATATCTTATAATTTTACAATTGCAATTATTCTTTGATCATGCCATAAAATATGAATAGGAAATGCGCAAGCACAATGCATCATGAGTATTGTATAAATTTGCATTACTATAACGACGTGAATGAGACTGCAACCTGTCATCATATATAAATTATGTAAATAGATGTCTAACAAAAATTGGCTTATTGCGGTACCATAATCCGTTTGCCGTCGTTGCGACGGCGACGTTATCGATTGTCTCCGACTTTACTTTTCTTGACGAGACGAATAATCATGACGATTATTGATATTCTCAAAAGTTGGAGAAAACATTAATATAACGGAAATTTCTATTACATACCATAATGCACGCTACACACCAGTATTTCTTATTATCGAGATAATGATAAGAACATAAAAAAAAATTATTTTTGATAGACTAGAGAGGATAAAATAGTCGAAAGAAAATTGCGCATGAAGCAATTGTAGAAAAATTATAACATAAATTTGACAAAATAACAAAAAAATTATTATTTGGTTAATTTATCAATTTCTTCAGAAAAATTTCAAGCGGCATAGCTATTAAATTATATAGTTTACTTTCTAAACTGTATATGCTTAACGCAATTAAAAATTTGATAGATATCTGGAATATCCACGTACACATCTCTGAATTTTATATTTCTTTCATATTAACTTATAAAAATATACCTCGCAATCTCCGAATAAAATACAGTATAACTTTTGACGCGTAAAATTACAATTTAGACGAGCATATATTTTACGTCAATTCGCGCAGTATATATTTTACGTCAATTTTCTTTATTTTACACGGAGGATAAATTCGCGATCAGATAAGCTCGCGTCCGCGTTATCCGCCAAATTTCCCACACGCCGGAAGGGTAAATGGGAATAATAACATTACCCCTTTGCCGAGACGTCGCACGATATCGTACTGTTTGCTGATGTGCGCGTCAATCTCGGAGACCTTCTCCGCGGTCTTTTTCCCCGACATCGTCGCAGCAGCGGCGCCGTCGGCGGTTACCCCTCAGGTCGCTGAAGACGCAGTCCCAGGACGAGGGAGAGCCTTCGCACGTGAGTGAATCTTTCGGGCGGACGCGGAGAGAAGTGCGAGCCGTCGCGGCGCATTCACATCTTCGTACATCGGGCGGGACGACCCCCGGTCGAGGAAATTTCTTTTTCACGCGACCCTCGGCACACGACAATGCGTGCCTTTGTTTACGGAATTGACGGCAGTTGCCGAGGCGACCGTGTCCACGGCTGCCAGCGATGTCGCCTGTATAGATGTATGTATTACAAGTAGACCGAGTGCGAGGCGGTCGTCGAAGAACACGTCAGAAATGGGCGAAATTAAAAAAAAAAAGTTAATTAAGATAAATTGAGATAAATATTTGTTATTTTTTTCTCTTTTTTTTTGCACTTTTCCAGTATTACTTCGAGATCGCGTTTTTATTAAATTTTGAATTCTTAAATTGAAAATATGTTTATATAAAAAAATTCTTATAGTTTATAAGCAATAATATAATATAATATAATAAATTAAAAAGAAATGCCAGTATAAAATTACATTTAAAAAGATTTATACTTTTAAGCTTTCATTAAGAAATATATATCTAATTGTAAGATAACTTTATCATATTATTAATTACACACAGTTATATTTTGTACACATAGCATGGAATACAACAATATCACGGAACAAAGTCGAAGACTGTGTTACTCGCCGGAAATATCCGTAATTTAAAAGAGGACATGATTTTCGAATGCGCAATTTTTTTGAGAATAAAGTCACAGCAGTTTCGAAAGGTGGATGTAGCACGGACTCGAACCACAAATTGTATACCAGCGGTGCAGAAAAATGAATGCTGCTATGTAGTTTACAGCCGCTTCTTCAGAGGGCGTTAGTGCATGAGAGCATTAGAGCCATTAGAGGTATTGGAATGTTCGGTCAGGTCAGATTCGTGGTGTAAATGGATACGTACGATCCGATAATAGTATAGTGTATTAATATTTATCGCTGCAAGTACAACATCGTTTGCAAGCAAAAATGCCTGCTCAAGAAATCGCGATGCCGCAGCCGCCGGCCACCGAAAGCGAGGAGAACAACGTTCCCTCGTCGCAGCCGATCGTGGGCATCATTTATCCACCGCCTGAGGTTAGGAGTATCCTTTTTCATCAGGGACGTTGTCGAAAATGCGCAAATTGCGTTCAACGAATATTCGCTGCAGGGGAGAAGAGCAACGTGGAAAGTGTATTTCGTACACGACACACATGAAACGCCGACCAGCCAGTTTCCTATGGCTGCGATACTGCTTGATTGTATGACGTTCGTTTATTTGTTTTTTTCCTTATACAGAAATTCAGATATCGTCGACAAAACCGCTAGCTTCGTGGCCAGGAACGGGCCGGAGTTTGAATCCAGGATCAGGCAGAACGAATTGGGCAATCCCAAGTTCAATTTTTTGAACTTCGGCGACCCTTATCATGCTTACTATCAACACAAGGTGAAGGAGTTCAAGGAGGGGAAGGGCCAGGAGCCTACGGTAGGTGCAGCCCCTGGGAAAACTGTCAACCTTACTGCCCACCAGAAGCAGCAGGAGATCCTGAAGCAGGTCGAACAGCCGTTTGTGCCCAAGGATCCGCCAATCGAGTTTGAATTTATCGCAGATCCTCCTTCTATATCTGCTTTGGATCTGTATGTATAATCATTTTTGTATACCCAAATAATTTATATATGTTTCGTTAAACGAATAAATAAAACTTCTCTTTCAGAGACATCGTGAAGCTGACCGCTCAGTTTGTTGCGCGTAACGGGAGGCAGTTCTTAACCAACTTGATGAATCGCGAGCAAAGGAATTTCCAGTTTGACTTCCTGCGGCCTCAGCATTCCTTGTTTCAGTACTTTACTAAACTCTTGGAGCAGTACACCAAGGTAGGCGAATAGCGATAGCTCTGTTTCAGGATCGACATAAATGTATTGTGTATGGTTTATAGAAAAATTTTTAATGTATTATTATTTACAGGTATTAATTCCACCGAAAGATTTGCTGCCGCGTCTCAAGGATGAAGCATTCAATATGGACAAGATTTTGGAGCAGGTGAAGTACCGTGCCGAGTATTTGAAGTATCAGGAGGCACAGAGGCGTAAGGAGGAGGAGGAATTGGAAAGGGAGAGGGTCGCTTATGCGCAAATTGACTGGCACGACTTCGTCGTGGTTGAGACGGTGGACTACCAACAATTCGAGGTCGGCAATTTCCCGGCGCCTACGACACCGGACGAAGTTGGTGCGCGCGTCCTCATGCAGGTTTGTTGGCTTTATATGTTTATTAAAAAATTTCTGAAAATTTCATGAATTTTAACTTTATTTATAGGAACGTATAGAGGAGGGTGAGGATGTGGAGATGCAAATCGACAGTGACGCAGAAGAGGAAACGCAAAACCGTGCAGAAGGCGAGAAAGGCGATCGTGCAAAAGATAATAATCAAGTAAGTGCATTCTTTTATTGTGCACGATATAGATTCACTTTGAATATTCGCGTTATGCTATGACTCATATTTCCAGGTGCAAGATATGGAGGAAGATTCCAGTGACGAGGACGATGTGTCCCCACCAGGTGACACACACAAATCTAAAGAACCCAAACAGCGCGAAACGAACATGCAGCCGCCTCCGTTGCCGCCCACGCCAGGAAACGTGTTGGTCAAGAAAGGATATGATCCGAAGCAACATGGTAAGCATATTCTCTAATCATCAATTAGAATTATTCGAATATATAAATATTTTATACAATTGGAATTGCTCGAATATATAAATTATTTTATACTCAATATTTTTGTAGCGACCAAACCTGCTCGCCCTGTGGCTCCGGACGAGTATCTGATTTCTCCGATTACCGGCGAACGTATTCCCGCTAGTAAAGTGCAGGAACATATGCGTATCGGATTGTTGGATCCACGCTGGGTCGAGCAGAGAGACAAGCATCTGGACAAACTGGCGCAGGAGACCGTATTCGCGCCGGGCACGGCAATCGAGGCGAGTCTCAAGCAACTCGCCGAGAGGCGTACCGATATATTCGGTGTGGGCGACGAAGAGACGGCGATCGGTAAGAAGATCGGCGAGGAGGACAAGAAGAAGGACGACAAAGTCACGTGGGACGGTCACACTTCGAGCGTGGAAGCAGCGACGAGAGCAGCGCGGGCGAACATTACGCTGGAAGAGCAGATTCATCAGATACATAAAGTCAAGGGTCTTCTGCCGGACGAGGAGAAGGAGAAGATCGGCCCGAAACCGGTGAATCGTGCGACTGAGCTTTCGCACATGGCCGCTGCCGCTTCAAAACCGCAGGCTACACTGAAAGCACCTCCAAAACCCCCTGCACCGAAACCGATGCCAGTACCCGCTCAACCTCCCCCACCGCCGACCATGAGCATGCCTACTATGGGTATACCCCAGCCGATGATGCCGCAGCCACCGATGATGATGATGGCACCTATGCCGCCTATGGCGCCTAGACCACCGCCTTTAATGAGTACGAAATTTCTTTACATTCTTGACAAACATGCATTTTGTTATCGCATTTTTGTACATAAAGCTAACCGAGATAAAATAATCTGTTACAGCTCCAGCGATGTCACCGTTCATGCCAACGCCACCACCAATACAGCCGCCGATGCCGTCTGCTGTAAGTAATTTATCGTTGTATGATACAATTGCCCAAATTATTTATCGTATTATGTTTTAAGAGATTTATTTTATTTAATTAATTTTTTAAGATCGGGTTGAAACATCCCGCTAGTAAACCACTGGAAGAGGAGCCGCAGGCTAAGAAACTGAGAACCGAGGACTCATTAATTCCGGAGCAACAATTTCTCGCTAGAAATAAGGTAAGAAGATCAATATTTATCAATTTATTGAAGAACTCAAAAAAATATATACAATCTTTTTTTCAGGGTCCCGTACAAATTAACATTGCTGTGCCCATGATGACAGAGAAGGCTGAATGGAAATTGAACGGACAGACATTGAATATTACTTTACAAACAAGCGATACTGTGGCAACTATGAAAGCGCTTATTCACGAGCAAATTGGTATGCCACCTGGGAAACAAAAGTTGCAGTACGAGGTAGATTATTAATAAATTTTTTCGCGTTTTACGTAATCACAAATAAACATGATGTTTATGCAAATGTAATTTCTGCTTCCAGGGAATGTTCTTCAAAGATAATAATACTCTTGCATATTATAATTTAACTTCGGGTAATGTTATCAACCTGCTACCAAAGGAGAGAGGTGGTAGAAAGAAGTAAACAAAAAGGTGAATATGTAAGTTAAAAATACAGAATTATTATAATTATGATATATTATATCAAAGCCTCAACAATTTTATCGCTATAATTTTGAGGTATATAAATATATGATCAAAATATACATTGCATTTATTCAAGCATCCATCAAGCGTAATAACATATAACAATTATAATTTATATTTTAATAAATATTACGTTAAATGATTTTTTTTGTTGTAATCCAAGCTTGAGTACTTTTGCATCGCATATATATATACGTCAGTTTATGTGTAACAATATTTACTCGAATTTAGTTGAGTATATCGTTAATTATTAAAACTACAAAATGAAAATAATTTATAAATTATTTCACGGATACATCTCGTTCTCTCTACGATCGCTTTGTATATTAGATTATTAGAATAATCCATCAAGGATATAATTTATAAATTATTTCGAGATGTTTCAAGATTATTTCAAGATGAGAGAAAGACGTATATATCTCTTTATCTCCACAATCCCTTTGTATTAGAATAATCGTTTTTATTTTTAAAGCTTTAGAAAAATAAAAATGCGTGATAATTATTTACAATATCAATTAAAGCTGAGGATTAGAGACATTTTTACACATTCGTACATAATATTGCACGAGAGAGATTCTCACCCATATATAAAATGCTTTTAAAATACAAAAAAGCACATTGTGCGTATAAAATTCAACATTCTAAATAATTTAAAAATATATATAGAAAAATTCTCTCAAAAAGCACAAATTTGTCGTTTCGTATTTACTTTGAGAATCGTGTATAAGAGGTCTTTTTAGAACATTTTGTTATGTACAAAATTTATATATGTTTCTGTTCGCTCCTCTTCTTCAATATCCGGTCTACGATTTTGCGATAACGTATGGTCATGGGTTTGTAAATCTAAAAATTTTAATTAATATAATCAATCGTAATTTAATTTATATAATCGATAATAAAAGAGATTCAAAAATTTATTTTACGTACCGATTCGGCGTCATCGTAAGGCTGACATACCAGCGTCATTTCTGGTAAGCAGCGTGTAATTTCATCGAAGCTGCAACTATTTCGCGTTAGACCATGTTTCGCTTGATATGCCGCACCCATCATTGCCGAATTAGCTGCTTCCTATCGGACAAAATTATAAAATTAGTATATGAAGTACCTTCATATATATTAAATAAGAATTTAATAATATAATGAGAATTATTATCGTAATACTTACCAAGATGTACACAGGCGAATTAAATACGTCGGAAAGCACTTGCAGTATAGCTTTATTTACAGATGCACCTCCCGTTGCAATTATCCGAGTATTAGGTCCTTTGTAAAAAGAAAGAAAATTATCTTAAATTCTTGCGAAATTAGATCGTGAAAGGGAAACTTGCAAAGACTTACCAACGACAAATCCAAAGTCTTCGGCGTACGCTCTCTTTGCGACAAATTGACCCTCGATCAGCGCTCTCACTTCCACTTCCTTCGAACTGTATCGCGAGATCTCGTCGTTGGCTTTGTTATATCTATAATCTCCAATGGCGAAAGGTAGGATCTCTTGCGTATCGAAATATACGGCGAAATTGCCAAAATTTCCTCGCGGTGTACTCTCCAATAATTCGTTGAATATCTGCCAGCTACCTTGCGCGGCATCGTTCCGTATCCTTTCGCGCGTCAGGGAACCGTTTTTAAAGCTGCAATATAAAATTAATTTTTGTTATGTACAAGATTTATTTATGTTTCTGTTCGCTCCTCTTCAATATAATTTTTTATGTTATTTGCAATAATCGTGGTAGAAGACTTACGTGAGTAACGCCATGTAAGCCTGATCATCTACTGGATTGCACAGTATGTGACCGTCCATTATGGTCTTGGGTTCGTTCAGCCACAGGATTAAGGTGTCGCTTGTGCCCAAACTGCATGCGATATCACCTTCCTTCAGTCTCATACCTACGTATCATTCTTGCTATGAGTACAACAGGATATTCAAAAGTTGTTAGCATTTACAAAATCGTGGCCGAGTGCACGAGTAATATCACGTACCTATTAAGGAGCCAGGATTGTCCCCGGTGAACGCGATTACCCTACATTCTTCGTTAAAACCGAATCTTTCCACGAAGTAAGGTGATACAGGACCGATATCGCTGTAGGACGAAACAGGCTCGCCTAGTTTCTCCCTCAGCCCGGACGCGCAGGTCTATTAAATATGTATACACATAAGTGTACAGCGAGACATACAACATACCAATGTGTGTACAGTGCTATTTTACCTCCAACAACATGTCATCCCAGTCTTTCGTACGGATATTTAACAGGTTCATACCCGAGCCGTCCGACCAATCTATAGGCGCGTAATCGCCCAGAAACAAGGAGGCGATGAAGCTGCTCACCAAAGAGATTCTCTGAAGAGAGAGAGAGAGAGAGAAAGAGATGAGGGACGTACATAAATATATAAGGACATTCGGTTTAGATGCGTTTCAGAAGCGGCACAAAAGCGTATGACGCACAGCCTCGATCATCGTGATATAATTAGAGGCGTTAAATCACACGGCGCATCGGTTACGTCGCAGAAATTTTTAGATCGTTTCATTTTCTGTACAAACGAAGTATTAAAGGGAAATGCAAAACGTGATTAATTGTAACGCGAGTTAATCCAATGGTGAGTTAATGCTAAACTCGATATACTCAATAATTGTTACGCATTAGTATACTATAAAAATAACATACATTTAGAATGTAAGCGATATACATTGTAAAACAAAGTTCAATCAGTTCAATCGAATATAGTCATACGTAATGAATACCTCGGTCTCGGATTGCCGTTCTCATTTTTTTTGTTTGAAGGAAGCCACGAGTTTTTAGTAAGTAATACCTCAGTGCTGCAGTAGGCTTCCGGCTTCGTGCGTGCTATTTTCGCTATTTGCGGTCCCGAGAATCTCTCGTACGCCCGTGAACCCGTTATTTCCGCTAATTTCTGAAATCACACACCGCCCCATGGGTAAACGATTGTCGAGTCCGGTGCCCGCGCGTGTGTACGCTAAATCCAAGTCGGCTGTCTTAAATATTTGGCCAATTCGTTCTCGCATAGTTACAACTGTCAGTCGTTTAGGAAATTTCACATCGCGGAAATAAACCCTTGTGAAAGCTAATGTTAGCCAATAAATGTATATGCATTCGCATAAACTTTTAGCGCGCATATATCGCCAGATATATTTTGGTGTATAATTTCGCGTATGTATGTTGTATAATCAATTCTTATTACACACGCGGGCACGAGCGGGAAGGGGCAATGCTTACGTGCGGGCCACCCACGATCTCCTCCAAAACGCTGCACTCTTTCGACGTGCTGGAATCCATCCATACGGGCGAGTGAGTCACGGAAAACGACGTAGCGAATTGTTCGTGCAAGAATTTTATCGGGTCCAAACGCTGCAGCCTTCCCCGGCTGCCCTTGCCCCAATAGACCGTGCCGTGTTGCTGCTCGTGCCATTAAAAATTGTACAAATAAGCATACTTTATTATCTCTAACGGCGTATCTTTAAAATAATCGATTTTACTTCGAACACGCGGCCGTGTGAATACCTGCGCGCAACCGGATATGGCCGCTACTTTGCTAAAGTCGACGCCGCAGACGCGCAGTTTATCTAGTATCATGTCTAAGGCCTTAACCCACATCAAAGAAGGCACCACCACGACATGCGACTCCTCCTTCTTCCGTATGACCCCGCCGTAAGTTCTGCAACGTTGAAATGTACTCTCGTTAGATAAACTTTAATGTATATCGCTGGATATTGCAGGTGCTTTACGCTACACGTGCTTAATTTGCCAATCCATATTACGATAAATATATGCAGCGATAAAAAAAAGATAAAATTCTCTCGTTATGATCGTCTATAATATAATATATATAAAAATATTTTACGTTTATAATTATTTGTCCAAAGGGAAAAGCAGCTAATTTTCGTCATAATGACAAGACAAAACGTAAAATTACATTCTTATTTAGAAATCGCCCTTCGATCGTACCTAAATTCCGGCAGATCATTGTCGAATTGCACGCTGGTCTCGTGAAGAACGGCTAGATTGTCGTCAATCACCACTGCTTTCAGCTGAAATCAGATCGGGATCGATTAGGTCGGGTCGCTAATGATCTTTCGAATTATAGACCTCGCGTGATCGTACGTTCGGATAAACGTCAATGCCATGATAATGACGGCATGCAACGGGAAGATATGCAGCTATTTATATTATCGCTATACCGGTGCGCTTTATTGATGCTCGTATTCCGCGGTGCGCGCGGATTTTTACGTCGTTACTTAGCGTCCTGCGATGTTAATTATCGGCCATAATATTTCTATCTCGTCGCATTTTTGTGCCGCTTTCGCAGATTACGTCTTTCCTCTTTCGTGCTGCCCGCTTTATCTGCCGACACAGGCTCGTGTGTTATCGCGCTATTAGATAATAATGACGACCCCTCGCGGGGACGTCAGAGCGCCTCGCGACCTCCTCTTTCGACTCGCTCGCGTGTTTCCTGCGTAGAATACCTTAATTACGAAACAGCCGCGCCGTATTGACATACATATACTTCGAAACCGCATAACACCGGCGCCAAGTTAAATCCCAGCCCCTCCGTCCTGCTCCTCCTCGCCCCCTGCGGGTCATCTCTATTCGACGCTAATGAAACTTGGTAAACACACTCTTCCTAAGGTTATCACTCTCGAAGTGAACGGGGGCATTGACGACTAAGTAACGAGCGTTAATAATTGAATCGCGTGGTGATTAACGTTAAAAATTTTAAGAAATTGAATTAAAGAACGGACGTAAGACGGAGATTTTTAAATACGTTCGCGCTCATCGCTCATCAGACTCACCTAGATTCCCGCGATTACGGGGCAATTAGCGCGTCGCGCTTTTGTTGTACTTTTTTTTTCTCAGAAACATCCGGGATACCGATTTCTTTTATGGAAAGCTACATTTACATCACGTACGTTGCGTCGGTTTGGCGTATAATCATGAGACGCTCCGTGCGACCGTAGATTTTCGAAAAAAAAAAAAAAGAATATCCACTAGTCTAATTGGAAATTCTCCCGCGTGGAAACTTTCCATGAAAAATCGTCCGTCTTTCAGGAACCGACGTAATTTCTAGTAACTCCAATTTTCGACGGCTACGAATGTGAAAGAATAAATTAGATTTTATTATCCGAAAGCATCTTCTGAACGAATAGGAACGATCAAATATAGAAGCGATAAAATGATTTCGGAGAATCAGAAACGAGAGACGGATTAGGAATGCCCGTAAGGAATGCTCTCGTATTCTCGAGATTGTCAAGAAGGTCGCGTCGATGCCAAACACCCCGGCACCGTTGTGCCAATACCGTCGGCGTCGCGCGATCGGACCGATCGAGTTCCACGTGGTCGTCGGAGCAATCCTAACGCGCGAGTGCGCCGACGAGCGTCGCAGGATCATCGAATGACGAGTCGAATGACGAGTGTTTGTAAAAAGAAATTCGAAGGGAATCCAGAAATGATTCTCTCGAGAGAGACCACGATGTTCTCTCTTCCCGCTTCTCTCGGGCAATCTTCCGTTTGTTTGGATCGCGTATTAACGTACCGAGCTTATAAATTCGCGTGTCAATATTTCCGCGTGTCTCTCGAGCTCGTGTATCCCGGCCGTCGTCGTTTTCTCTTTTACCTGCTGCGTGCTCAGGTCTAGACCCAGATACGTGGCCGTCGGCGGCTCGTCCATGCTGCCGTCCGCGCGTAGGATCGGCGTAGGCTCGTCGTATAAGAACCGGCGCGGAATGAATGCGACCACGACTGCTCGCTCCTGGCGGCGTGTCCGCTCGCCGCTTTGCTGCTCGTGGGACTAAGTGCGGGCGAACGCGCGGGCCTGTGCGCGGCCCACGTACATCCTCGCGGCGCACTTTAAACGTCGTCGTCGTCGTCGTCGTCGCGGTTGCCGCCGTCGCGGCCCTCGCTACGCCACGCACTTTAGACGTCGTCGTCGTCGTCGCCGCTGCCGCCGCCGTCGCGGTCTCTCGTCGTCACGCCACGCCACGCGTTACGCTTACGCGCGCGGTTTCGTAGCGCGGAGCAGCGAGCGGAGTCCGCCGCAGCCTGTCGAGTCGGGGAGAAGTAAATAACCGCGTTCTCTCGGTATCAGCGAAGATTCACGCTCCCGTCGCTTACGTAACGTAACGCACTCTCGTCGGATCCGCCTGGAGATTGTTAGCGACGAGTGGGCACGACTACGAGAGCAAACGGTCACCGATAACGCCGAGCAAGAGTCGATCGCGTGTTGTTCGGGACGCGCGTGGGGAACGAGATCAGCCTGAGGTAACTCGAGAGTCTCGGGGCTCCGACCAGGTAAAAGGAGAGGAGGTTCGCGCGCGAGCTGCCTTATCGGCGGTCTCCGGAGTGTGGGCGTTACATCACCTGCACGGCATTACACCTGCTGCCCCAGGGAAGTTACAATTGCCACGAGTGCCGCCGCGGCACGTTATCTGACGAGCTCTCGAAGTCTTAACGGATAACACAGGGTGTCTTGGAGGTAAAACGCGCGATGCTCGCGACGAGGTATCGATATTCTTTGATCAATTTGCAATCTCCTCGCGAAACACCTTCCATCAGGTATTAATATATCTTTGTAATCGCAAAGAACTGAAAATAAAGTACGTTTTGAAAACGTATATCAGACATGAAAATTCATCCACAGTTTTAAGAGAATTTCAAGTTACTATTACAGACTTCGACTGAAAACTCAGTTGTACCAAGATGCTCGACGACGACAATGAAAAATACAACGTTATCATCTCTTTTCTTATTGTTATTTTTATATATTTTTCCTGCCATTTTATAAAAATAAAAATGTAACAAGCCTTCGGCAATAGGCTTAAATCAGTCCTAGTGATGCTAGACCTGCAAACAGTGGTCGAAACACGGGGATGCCGACAACGGTCTTGGTAGCGTACGTTGCTAACATATATACTGCAACGAGGGCCGAAACACGACGAACCGAACGACGGCTAGAGAGAGGCGGATTGTTAACCGATGCACGAGCGTATGTACGTGCGGGTTTGTTTGCGTAGCGAAGAACCGTATGTGTGCCGGCTCCGCAGGGCGGAGATAGCCGCCGGGGGTGCTCCGCATGGGCGTCAAAGGTCATATTCTCGGGAAGAGGCGAAAGCGTCTGGGGAAAATCTTCATCCGACGGTGCGACGTTTCGTCGTGGAAACATTACGGTTTCATTTCGGACGCACAATACTTTTCTCAAATACAAACGACACACAAATATGAGGAGTAATAAAAATATATAATGTATAATATATATACATATAATCGCGCTTATGATATACAAAAATATTTTCTTAATTCTCTTAATGTATTCTGATTTTAGCTGTGAACAATTTTACTTTCGAAAATCTTCTCTGAAAAGGTTTCCTCTTGAAAAAAACTTGCAGTTGTTTCGGTTATAATAATCTTCTTCCAGCTAAGCCTTATGCTTTTCTGGTAGATAAACGCGTGAGTTTATCGGTGGGAATTAAAAACGCCCTCCAGAGCGAGGGAACGCGTCCCTTCTTCCTGGCGCCTATGGATATAGCCTGCGACTATTTGTCGGTTCCGTTGCCCTATAATCGTGCGGTACACGGATAATGGTTTGGGTTAAGGGACGCCACGTCGGGCCGGCACTGAGGGAGGCGAACGTGGAGAAAGAGAGAAAAGTGAGGAAGGGAGAAATCAGAGAGGAGGAACGTGTATACGCGTCGCCAGCAGCGGCGGCCGCGGCGCCGGGACCAAAGCCCCCTTTCATAAAACACAGCCCCGATAGTTTCGGCGGGGCCGATACCTCCGTGATGATGGGTGAGACGATCGACGGACGGGTAATCGGGACGAGCCCGCTTCGCCGAGCTCACGAATCACGAGTTGCCGGGCTCTTGGCGAAGTCCCATTACCCCGGCTGGCCCTCAGCTACAAAACGATTCGCGGTTCGGTTCGGTTTCGGTTTACGCGCCGCAGGATCGTGATCTAATTACGCGAACGGGTTGTGGCGCGCGCGCGCGAACGCGCCGCAGCGTCAGTTACCGGATTGATGCCTTGTTTGTTATGACGATGGGGGCCTCGGAATTTCGCCGCGGGCCCCGACGGCACGATGTACACCGCCGATCGATTTCCATCCTCTCGACAGAAAGAGAGAGAATAAAAGTATGTTTGAAAAAAATTTCTAAAGCCACTTGATTCTCGATCGAAGCTTTCTGGATCAAAGGTAAAGCGACTTCAAAAATACATTGATCTTATTTAAACTTTTGCATTATTAAAATTAAATGAAATCAAGTGTTGCGGTCAAACATTTTCCAAGATTGTTTGCAAAATTCAATCACAGCGATGAAAATAACGGAATGGTGTCTTTCATTTTGCAAAAACATCAGAAAGCTCTGGAAAATGATCAGGAAGAACGATGATATATGCGAATATGCGATTGGTAGTGCGACAATACTTTTTAAACTTGGAAAAATTTTACCATTTGCTAAGCATGATAATGCGAGGTGTCTACTTAATCTAAATTAATTAATCCAAATCGTGACGGTATGTCGGATGAGTAAAGATGGAGTGATCGTGCGACGCACGGCGAGGCGGTAATTTCAACGCTCGCTAACGACGGTATCGCGGCCGCCGAACCGCGCGTAACGCGGGCAGGCTCGAGCCGACGCGGCGTTAAGCGCCATAGCGATTTTTCGCGGACGTGACATCGTTTCATTACCTAAACGCATCCACGCCGCGAAATAGATCGAGCAGGCGGACACGGGAACCGAAACGCGAGCGAAGGGTTGGCCGGGGTGGAGGAAAAAGGGGAGGCCGCGCGGATGGCGACAGCCGGCTGGCAGAGCCACGTCGTCGCCGTCGAACGAACGACGACGTCGACGACGGAACGACGGCTGCTCTCTCCCGGCTGCAGACAAACAAAAGAGAGAAAGAGAGAGGGTGAGGGAGAGGGACAGAGAGAAAGAGACAGCCAGGCGCCGATTCCAGCGACCGGCCGGCGCTAACCTCGACGCCAAGCGTGGAGCGGCGACGGCGTCGCTGACGTCGTCGCCGCCGCCACCGGGCCGACTGCCGACGACGACGACGACGAGCGGCGACGGCGACGAAGATGATGTCGACGACGGCGACGGCCAATGAATACTAGCTTCTTCTGGCACCGCCACGACGCACGGGGGTGAGACGAGCGTTGCTCGTCGGACGCCAAGACCGGACGGACGCCTCGTCCTTTATCCCCACAGCCCCCTCTTTCTCCGTATCTTTCACGATGCACTCAGGCTCACTCCCCATTCGGTATTGTCATCCGAAATCCCCAATTCCTAGGCGTGTCGACAGCGCTATCGCTCTCTATACGAGGATAATTGACGGGGGAGAATGTTATCTGCCCGAGGACAGTCGGTTGTAAATTAGGAGGGATTGTTTTCCTTTCTCGACTTCTTACTCACGCAGGATACAGCGAATTGGATTTGTTATAATAAATTGGGAGAAAATTTTAATAAAAGCGGAGAACTGGCCCAAGTGCAATGTGATGATTTTTTTTTAATTTTGTGTTTTCTTACAATGTAAAATAATTTCTGAAAAAATTTAATGGAGCTTTAGATAACCTGGCAACTTCTCTCTTTTAAATTTCCGGACACAAAAATATTCGTTATATTATTTATAGCGCAGAGGCGATATGTGTGTCTTCTTCGCACGAAGCAAACCTATATAGCGCCGCTTAATTTCCCCCCCGAAACGGCAACCCTATAATTTCCCGTTGATCGCGCGTAGTTTACAGCGCGGAAAGCGGCGGGGGAATCCCGGTGATCGCAATCGCCACCAAACGCTCCTACATACAGCACCGTAACTCATTTTTTTTCCCGGGGTCGGTATAGACGGCGCCTCGTGTGGATAGAAAGAGAGACATCCCTTCCCGCCCCCTCGTCGGAGGGTGTACCCTCCGCCGTTTTAACCCATGCCAGAGCGCCTACCCCCGGCAACATTCGCGGAAAGTAGTAGAGAAGCGGCTGGCACCCGCGCGCAGCGGCGACGGGACGGGGGGAGAAGGAGACTACGACGGCTCCAGCGTGGGGCGCCAAGTGTTTTGATGCTTGTTATGCGAAGGGGAGCTTGATAAACAACGGAACGGAGAACGGAGCCGGTGCCGGACGGACCGGATCATCACCGTCGCGCTCCGTCCTCAACCCCCCTTCTCCTTCCCCTCCCTCCTCTGGAATGGACGTCCGACCGACTGGCTGCGCCCGTGTCATTACGAAAGAATTGATATCCTGACACACTACGGCGTCATTCCGTTTTTCTAACTTGTTGTCCCGAACACCGGCGTCCCGAGCGGAAAGACGGCCGTCGTTAGCGGCGGATCCCCGGGGGCGCCGCGCCGCGCCGCCGACGCGACTTTCGAACGTTCGTGCGATCGGAAATTTCCGGTCACAGCACATAGACCGGGATAAGCAGGGATAAGAGTCGTAGCTTTTGACTCGAGAGAGAATAAATGAATAACTGGCGTGTCAGCTACTACAATATTTTAATTTTTCCAAACTCTTTTGATAAACGAGCCTCTTCGAAAAAAGTCTCTAAGAAAATATACCTTTTACTAAAAATATTACTTTATTATTTAGTTATGCGTCGAGATGTTTAATTCGAGCGAAAAACTCTATTCTCGATTTCTTAGAAATGTTAAAAAATATTATTTCTGACAAGAGAGAGAAACGTGCTCTTCGTTATCCGCGTTCCTTTCTCGCGATTCGCGCGAAGAGGAAGAAGAGGGTTTGAGAGTGCGTGTACTCGACGGAAATAGAGCCCAGCGGGTCCGCGGGTAAGCAATGCGACGAAAACGAGAATGGTACCGGTGTTTACTCGCTTCCCGCCCATTAAGACGCAGGAAATCGCGCTCGCACGCCATCGGGCGCTCGTTTAATTCGCGCGTCGTAAAGTACCTCGGTTTCGAATCGGGAATCACCCTAAATGTCGCCGCGGAATGTCGAATCGTATCCGCGATTCGTGGTTCGGACGCGGTCAGGATAAAGAAAGAGTTTAAGCGACGTCTCTAGCTGATATAATAAAAACGTTCAGACCATAAAACAACTGTCTTCTCAATTCTAACTAAACACTAAGTGATACGAAATTAATCTTGATCAGATGAAAAAAAAGATGATTGCGAAGAGCTGAAATGTCATGAGTACGCGCGAATTTTTCGAAAATCACGATTTTTTAATACGCAATATGCAATCATTATATATAATTGATCGCAGAGCGTAGCAGGTTCGATTGTTCACAAATTTCCGGCGAATCACGGTGAGTAGCCGGTACTCTTCCGACTCCTTGGCGCGTGAATATCAAGCAGCGACGAAGGAACGCGACACCGTCCTCGTCTTCGTCTTCGTGGTCGCCGTCGCCGTCGTCGCCGCCGCCGCCACCGCCACCGCTGCCGCCGTCGTCGCCGCTGCTGCAAATGACATTGTTTATCCGCCGCGGGAGCAAGAAGAGTCGCCTGAAATGTAAGTATATACCGAGAGGAGTCGTCGTCGGTCGTTTGGCTTGACTCGGTCAAGCACCCTGGTGTGTACCCCGGCAGCCTCCGACGCTCTCGTTGGCCATGCATGCGCGCCAGAACTACCCCCGCTCGTGTCCGACGCCACGACCACCGTGGTCGGTCGCGCGTCGCGGGGCGTCGCGCGCACGTCGCACGTACGAAAAGGCGACGACGGTACCATCGTCTTCGTCGTCGCCCTCGCCGCCGCCGTCGTCGTCGCCGGTTTCGTAAGTACGTGTGCACATCGGCGGCGACGGAGGAGGGGCGCGCCACGTATCCGCCGAATGGCGTCAGGAACCGCGTCGCCACGTTACTGGCGCGCCGCCGCTCCGCTCGCCGTGTCGCCGCGGATTCGCGCCGCGGCGGGCCGCGTCGCGCCACTCTTCGCGCCGGCCGCCCTTAGGCGAGTAGACGACGACCGCCGCGCGACAGGCCGGGCCGCAGGCCAGGGGTGGCGAGCAGAGAGATGCGTATTATAGCGATGGCTCCAGTCATCCGCGTATCGCACGGCGCGCACTGGCGCGTACCTGCTACATATTGCGCGACGGCCGGCCGGCATCGCGACCAGTCGACGCTCGACGATCGGAGAGTCGAGGTCGGGTGTTGGCGTGCTGCCGATCGCGTGAGACTCCATCATCGTCTTCCTATGTACCGTCTGTCTGGGCCCGTATGATATATACGTAGGGTGTTTCTACATGTCCGTCGGGACCAAGACGCGTTAATCCGAAAAACAAGGTTCATTCTGTCACTTACACAGCGATTTATAGATCATTACAAGTCTCTGGAATTCGAAACCTTGCAACGGAAATCTTACCTCTCTTTCTTTTTTTTATTCAGATTTATTTTTAGACAGATATAAAGTTTTGCATTTTAGTATCGGATCGCGGAGATTATGACAATTCATGAATCTCATTAGAAAATATGAGCAATCGGATATGCAGAATAAATTAATTTATGGAGACTCTGTTACACGAAAAAAAAAGATTTATTTCTTATTAACTGTACTGATAATAAATTATGCTAAGAGCTTTTTTCTGTGCAACTCGTAATGCTTTTGCGTGATTTTCGATTCAACGTGGGAAACATATATCGACATAAATGTGTTTCAGATACGTGTACCTCGTTAAAGCGACGGGATAGAGAACACGCGTAAAATTCAGCGGCGTGTTTTACGCGGGATCTTCCGGCCGGCGAGATCCCGTAATCGGCGACGGTTTCGTACGCCGGCGTAGCACGTGCGCAGTATCTCAGCCAATAGCGGGAAAGTCTGTAACAGGTAAGAGTATAAGAGACAATATATGTGAGAGTTCAGCGGTATTACGTGAAAGTATCAAGAGTGCAAACCGGAGAACCAATTTTCTGGAGCAAAGATTCGTCGTATCGTCGACGGTCGAAAGAGAGCAACGATACATATAAAATAAAATTTGTTTATTTCTCTATCCTCCGATCGAAGAACGCGCGTACGTGCGATATATTTGAAAAAAAAAAAAAGGTACCGATACGAGTAAACGTAGAGGATTGCAGGACACTCGTTGACCAAAGAAGACTGACTGTTAAAATGAGGAATTTATAGCTTGCACTAGAGAAATAAATATTTGCCGCATTTGGGAGGCGATAATTATGCCGGGAACACCGCGTCTCTCTCTTCCTTCACTTACGTAAGAGCCGCCGAATAAATTAGCGTTGCCTCAACAATGTCGGATTTCAAATCCGTTTGGTATCGTGCGCGATTGCGTCAGACGCGATTGCGGAATGCGTCTCGAAGGCAAGAGCGATGTAATCGTTACCTGCATACTTTCCGTTAATTGGCAAGCCATGAGTGGCAGATGTAAATATAGCAATGCCGCAACGCGATTTGTAAATATCGCCGCCTCGGAAGAATCAATTTTCTCCCTATTATCTGCGCTATACGATGACTGCTGCATTTAGACTTGTGCAAATTTAAACGCGCGGCGTCGCGACGTAGCGGCACTCGCGAGCGATCTGCCGCGAGGCGCGCAACACGGTTTTCATCTCGACCGGCGTTTCATCTCGAGCGTTGCGCCCGGAACAACGAAACTTTTTTTCCAGATTCCAACGCTCGAACGGCTCTCGCGGGTCTCGTTCTTTCTCATTTCCGAAAATTGGTTCTTCATTGTCGTGTTTGTAAATCATTTTAATTATTTCTCTCGGTATATATGTATATTTTTTTGTCTCCGTTTACATATCATCGGCGCGATGCGCTTAGCGACGCGCTGTGCCGTCGTCGGCATAAAAATCGCCGATCAAGGCAACGGCTGGAAGATTAGATTCGTCGCGGTATAATTTCGTATGCGCGCGCGCGCCTCAACGTGTGGTGCACAGCAAGAGGTGCCTTCTCCCTCTACCTTCCTCTATCTCTCTTCCTCCATCCCGTGGCATCTTTTCGGCGGTCCCGGTGCACGACGAAAGGTAGCGTCGTTCTCGCGCCCGGCGGGTTCCACGCGATACGCTTCGGCGACGGCGACGGCGACGATGGCGGGCGAGACGAGTCCGGGTTCACGTTCGTGTGCGAGTTAATAGCGGACGAAAGAGGTACGGATGCTGACGCGGCGCTGGGTAGAGCACCGACGAAGGAGAGTAGAGCGGAAAGGGGGTGGGGGGAGAGAGACGTGGGGCGCGGTAGCGGGGAACGGAGGAGAGCAGCCGGGACGGACAGGCGCCTACGGCGCGGATCCGAGTGGCGCCAGCGCTAACGTAAGCGTCAGCGTTAGCGCCGGTCGCACGCGCGTCCGGACCGGCCGATATCATCCAGGAAGTTACAGGCCGCACCTGTCCCGTCATACCTCTCTCCTCCTTTACTCGCGCCCCCGTCGCTCGTCGCCTCTGCTCCGGCCGTCGCTTTTGCTGGCAGGGCCGTCGGCTACGCTCTCGCCGCCCGCCGACGCCCGGACCCCGACCCGCGGCCGCCGACAACGTCGACGCAGGTGTTCCGTCAGACGGCCGGCGGTTTTCGCGTCGCGCCAAAGCGGAGGCTTCCGGTGGGGCAGCCTCGCGTCCGGCACGAAAAAAAAAGAGGAGGGACGAGGTGCACGATCGAGCACCGTGTATCCGTCCGGTTATGGAGAGGTTGTTGCGTGCTCGCGCGGCGACGTCGATGAAAGACCCGAATTCCGATTGCTATTATAAGAACGAGGCATTTTATATTGTCGCTCGTTATAATTATGACACACGTCGAAAGTTTCGTAATGTTTTTGAAATAGCTCTGTAAAAAAGTTATTGTACATGTATATATATTTTCATCTCTCACATTTCTGCCTTTCTTCTTATCCCGGCGTGAGTCGGAGGATTAACTCGAGTTACATTTTATCGTCACGCGACTTAAACGGCACGTACTTGTTTCCTCGTGGCAACCACCGGCAGAAATATCTCCGGCGACGCACGGAGGCGAGCCGGTATCAGTGGGTTTCCACGCCCGTGTATGTACGTACACGCCTGTGTCCCTCGTTTTTATGGAACAATCGTTAATCGTATGCGCGACCAGTTGATCGAATATATTTAAATCCATGAGGAGTTAAGTAGGAACACGGCGCCAGCGATGCAGACGATTACGCACCCGAGTCGGCGAGTCCGTCGAGCGTGCAATGCGTCGTCGCGTCGCGTCGCGTCGCGTCGCGCGTCGCCCGCGGAGGTGCCGGCCGACCGGGTTTTTCCATTTGCAAACGGACGTCGTTAATGCCAGCCGAATTTCCATAACCGGCAAAAAGAGAAAAAGAGAGAGAGAGAGAGAGAAAGGGAGGGGAGAGGAGAGACCATGTGCTGTCTGACTGACAGGTGCACAAAACGCTGTTAGCGGCGAGCGTGAACAATGGGGCGCCGTCTCGGCCGAGCGCTTTTTGTCCTTTGTAAATCTGCCGTCAATTACAATGGGCATTCATTCCCCTTTTTTGTTTCTCACTTGCAAATGCGATGCAAACGAGTCTATATCTACACTCTATACTATTGATAAGGCTGATTACCGCTCGTGGACAAAAGTTGCTGAGTTGTGATTTTAATCGTTCAGCCACACGCGCGTGTTTCTTTTGCACGGAATAATATATTTTTATAAGAACCGTTTAACTTCTCGCGCCCCGTGTCTAAACGTTTATCGCCGGCAGCCGTAAAATAATAATGCTATTATAGCCTGCAAAAGGCCCCCATCCAAGTTTTCCGTGACGTTATACGTCCGACCGGCTTTTCTCGCGATTCTACGCAGATACGCGCGCACGAGCGGGCGCACGATGATAAACAGCCAGGAGCCTCCGAATGATTGGTCATCCCCGACGTGCGTTCCAACACGTCGCCTCTCGGCCCATCGGGGAGGTTACTGAAAAAGATTCCGCGCCGGCCCCTAAGAATAGCCCGAAACGTCTTCGCGCTTCGCGGAAGATGAATTATAGCGGAATCGTGAGCAGGTCTTCTCGGTCTCTCGCCGTGTCGCCGCTTCGAAGAACGACGACGATCGCTCTCCCGCGGAATTTGGAGCGTTGACATCGGCGCCTCCGCGGTGTAGAGTTAAACACTCGGCGTGCGCCGGGGTACCGGGCCAAAAAAATTCGCCGCATTCGGTCAAGTAAAATTAACGTAAAACGTCGCGCCATCCTGACCGCAAAGAAGCACGGGAGATATTACGGAGGTCGCGTCACTCGCGTTTCTTTCGATTAAAATAGGCTCTGAAAACACCAGCTATACTGCTGCAATATTTTACACGGTTCCACGTAGCTCTCCACATACATACACACATCTATTATAAGTTACAATTGCAAAGAAATTAAAGTAAAATTTGAAATTTCTACTTCTCGCCTTTGTACTCGGCTTTTCGTACTCTCGTAATCGCTAAGGCGCAAAAATATACGGCGACTAAAAATGTTTTCCATGCGAAGAGAGAGGCCGCTCCCTCGTTTGTGCGCGGCGTGACAACGTCAGCGCGTCGTCAATCATACTCCTCCGTCTCGGCGCGAGCTGCAGCGCGACGCGGCACCGAGTATTCTCGGAAAGTCTCTAGGGGAATTCACTTGCGGTGCGTTTTTCTCGCTTTTCGCGTGATCTTTCTATTAAAATTCAAATTAGCTGTTCATTACGGCAGCCCGAGATGGGGGGAGCTTCGCGGCTACTCGTCTTTCGCAAATGTTTATCCCATCTCTCGCGCATCGTTATTTCTTCAAGTTTGCGAGACGCAATTAATGCGTATCGCGATTAACCGACGCGATACGCAGAATTTCAAGTACTTTAGTTGCGCGCGCTCAGAACGGATAACGAGCGCGCGCGCGCGTTAATCCCGCGAGCGAAGTGGAAAAGCACGTCGTTTACGAGCGATAATTGGCGGAAGGCAGTTTACCGGGCCGCGTTCATTAATAATCCTCTTCGACGCACGGCCGTGTAACGACGAGCATCGCGAACATCGCGAGCGAGAAACGTTCGTCGAAATGTAAGGGAGAGAGGACGGTCCTTGTCTCATTCTATTTACGCGAGCCGGACATTCCTATCGTGCTGCATTGTTTTAACGGGCGCCGGTGCTTATACGCGCCGACGACCGTCTCCACGCGAGATTCGTGCTCGCCGACGTACATTTTAAGAACACGTTCCATACGCGTGACTTTACGATATAGTAATGGTCCATCAGTAAGTGTATTTAACAATTAATTTGAAAAGTTACAATCGAAAACTGCGACAATCGTACGTCATTTAATGACAAGCGTATTTTTTTATTAATTTAAAAAATTATAATTGAGAAATACAATCATACATCATTCAATGATAGAATAGCCGCAAAATTTTAATATTCGTCAATACGTCGCAATATAATGTCTCGAGCGTATAATACTACGATAATACGATTTAGGAATTTTACTCCATTTATTTCGAAAGTTAATTCTCTCCTTTAAATAGTGGGATATTTTGACGACGAGACATATTACATCAACGTTTCGTCTGACGCATAGCACAACGGTCGTCCATCCGGCGGTGCCATCGGTGCGATATGTCAAGAATGGCGCCATGCCCCGTGGAGCGGTGCGGCGAGCATGCAAGTAATTTTCGCGTTTGGAAATAGAACGAAATAAAAGTACGATCGCGCGTCGCGCGCGCGATCCTAGGTTGCCATCGCGCCCCACGTACGCCGCCGCGGCAGGCCTAAAATCTTACGACTCGCAGTTACGCACGATCACGCCGTCGGGTAATATATAATTATAACGGCAATAAAGGTCCTCTGTTAAAATTGATTTATGTATATTAATTGAAAAAATATTAAACAACACGTGCTTTCGGAAAGTCATATACACACTTCACCTCTCGCTCGCGCGACGTTACCATTAATTTAAAACTTACGTTACAAAAATATTGGTGCGCAAGATGATCTTTCAAAATTACGACATCTGCTCCATTCCAAGAAGGCCTCCATTTGTTTTTCTTACTTATTCCCGCAAAATCTATTTGCCAGAGTAAACACAGAATTGCTGAAGAGGCGCCTTGTATTCTCGAGTCGGAATAATTCGTGCGTCTCGTTATGGATATATGGACATTCATCGTATCCTTCTCTCTCTCTCTCTCTTCTCGTTCTCTGTTTCTTTCTTAGCGTTCAAGCTAAAGCAATTCTTTTTGTTCCCAACGTCCGTATACCTTGAGCTAGGGCCGCCTTGATCGACATTTAATTGGGCCGAGACATCCAGGCACCGAGAAACGCAGACGGCCCTGAAGAGTTTACTAAAAGAGCTTTACCAGCCGGAAGGGGAGGGAGAGCGAGGGGAATTCTCTCTCCGGGCGAGGAACGAGAGCGCAAGAGATGTGGAGCGAAGGAAGAGGCGGAAAGAGAAGAAAGACAGAGAAAGAGAGACGGAGAGAGACTGCGTTCGTGTGGAGGCCAGGCGTCTGATTACTAGCCAACGCAGGACGCCAGACATACATAACTAAATAACTTCCTAAATTCTATATCATTTTGGAGCGGACTGCGACGGGTGAAATAACGCGTCTAGACCCACGTCGCGACTCGTTGCGAAAGAGTGAAAGAGAGAAAGAGAGGGTTAGTAGCGACAGGTCCACGTCGGAGTCTGGCGAATGTGATTTCTGTCACTGCTCGCCGCGATTCGTTTCGTCGTACTCGATTAAAGCTAAATGGAAAATATATATGTATATATTTAAAATATATACATATGTACTCTTTATTTTCTAACTTATCAGTCCCATATAAATAAAATTATTATTATTATTATTTTGTCTATCTGAAATAGTCTATTTGACAAACTATATAATATCTCATATCTATCTTTTGTCACATTTATTTTATCACAACGTCCTATACGGAAACTAAATTAAATTAAATTGCAGTTAAAAATTTTCTATGATCTTTCGCGAAATCTCATGCAAAGTGGAAATTATATTGTGTCGCGAATATAATCTATCAAGTCGGAACCGCCCTAAGTCGATGCGTTTATTTCAATTTTCATCATGTAAATCGCGACTTCCGACGAATCACGGACCTGCCGTCCGTCTGACAGGAGCACTTTATGTTCGCTCGGGAATTCCAATTTTAATACAGGTACAAGACGGTCACCGTCTCATTTCTCTAAACGTCGCTACCGGGCGACGCGACGGCGGCCACCGAAATATGAACGTCGGAATATCGGAAGAGACGTATAATGACACTTCGAGAGAAGAGGGACCGCCGACGTGTCACGCTACGTTACGACGGGGGCGTTTCGATTATCAGAAAGACGAAATTACAGGCTCCCGTATAACTATTAAAGCCCCGTCGCCGGGGCGAAGCTGTGTGCCGGCCTATTACAAAATTACGTTCGCGGGATCGTGCGAAACGAGTTTCTAAAATTAGAGAATTTATGAGCGACGATCCTTTCGGTTCCGCGCGAATCGCCGAGTGGTATGCCATTCGCGATCCTTTTTCAGCCATTTCAACCGACTCCGTTCGGCCTCGTTCTCGCATTCGGCCGCGCGGACGCACGGCAGTCCCAATTAGACATCCCGTCACGACATCTCGTCATTCGCGTAACGTACATAAATTGCAAGATTTACACATGTACGCGCTATTAAGCGGCCGATTAGGCAAAGACACATTATGCCGAGATAATGAAAGCGGGTACGTGCGATCTTCTCGCCTGTCGCGATCCGCAGTCGAAAGTTTTTCCAAGCTTGGATCGATATATGTAGCGTTTTCGGACGGACCGGGTTTTGATCGCTCCGAGGGCGATTAATGACGTCGCATGCTCTCCTCGTCCAATTAAAAATCTAAAATAGAGCATGTAACGTCATTAATCGCCCTCGGAGCGATCAAAATCCGGTCCGTCCGAAAACGCTAATTATAATCGTCACCTTAAGTCTTGGACAGGTTTCGCTTGATAGTAAAAAGTAGAATTATTTAAATACAAATCTATAGGTAATAAAACAAAATACATAATAAATTTGTGTTGCAGATTAGCCATTTGTATTAATGAGCGCGGTCGTCAGCGTGATCTACGAAATCTGGTAAGTACGTGACGATCTTTAAGAGAAAAGTAGCTGTTATTTCTTCTTTACTGACTTCGGAAGACACGGAAGAAACTTTCGAAAGCGCGTAAGCGAACGTCTTCGTCTCCGCGATTACTTCTCATGCGTTCCGAGAGCGTAATTTGCGTCATGGCGATCTGAAAAACACGACGCGCGTTCTCCAAAAATTCGTAGCCGGCGCGTCGCGACGCGTCGCGCCGCGGCGTCTTCCCGTCGTTTCCTTTGTCATTCGATACAGCGATGTTCCTTTGTGTTCGTCGACGAGGAGCGGGGCAGCGGTCGCGGGCATCTCCTTCGCGGGCAAGATATCGTGACTGAAATTCGTCCTGGAATGTTGACCCCGGAGGTGGAGCGCAGCGCGGCGACTGGCGCTGAGGAGACGCCGACGCTACGGCGGAGACGCCGGCGTCAGTCTGCTCGCGCCGCCGGCGACCGACGGCCCGACGTCTCTGTATCGCTTCCTCCCATTCCCCCCGCTCCGTCCATGATCGCCTAAATCCACTTCCCTCTCGTTTTCTTACGCAGAGAATAGATTCGGCTGTTTTCATTTAAATGTATTTTCAAAAACGTAAACGCGACGTAATTCCTGAGAACAGCCATTTACGTTTCGTTTATGCAAAATGCTATACGTAAATAAATGAAAGGCGATAAAATTATTTAGCATATTCGAGCTCCATTTTTCGGACTCAAATCCAGACGTGGCTCGCGCGAGGTGATTCATACATTTGCATAACGTCGTAAAAGTTCCGATTCGAATTCGAGCGGAGAAGAGAGAACTTCACCGAGATTCGCGCGCGCGGCCTACGTATTCTTGATTTCGCGCGGGGCGCCGCGCCGCGCGCCGAAGCGAGAGCGAGCGAGCGAGGCGAGACGCCGGAGTCTCCCCAACGCCAGCGCCACCACTACACTCGGCGACCGTAGCGCTACCGCGCCGACGCCGACGACGCCATGTTTGATGGTCTCTCTTTCGCTCTTGTGCGTTTAGTATGCTACGGTCGGTGTATCGGCGCGCCGTCGGGACGAACCGGGACGAACCCGACGAAACGTTGAGACGCGAAGGAGGGGTGGGATCAGCCGAGCAGCGGAGTGGGACGAACGAACGGAAGGGAAGGGGGGGGATGCCGACGACGGCGGGCGGCCGGTGCGCGCGCTCATGACGGTGGACCTCGTGCATGCACGCCAGTCGCGTTGCCGAGTTTGAGCGCAGCTGAGTCGGAGTACTCGGAGTTACGGAGTTAGTTGCGTGCGCGCCGCGGTCGGTCTCGTGTGCAGAACAGTTTTTCGTCCACCCCGAATGCGAGCGTTGAATATTTCGTCGCGCGAGCGATAGAAGAGAGCAGAAGGAAGGACGGAGACACGCGCGTGGAAAGGAGCTCCGTGAAGAAGAAGCGGCGAGCTCGTCGTCGTTCGTAAGAGTGCTGCGGGAGGCACACCGAACATCGCTCAGGTCATTGGAGAAGCGCCGTTCTCTCTGTGGCGCCGTACACGTACGATCTCTCCCGCCCTCGCGAGTCGTAGTACGTCCAGATCCCCGTTTTCATCGTGTTGTGTGCGCCGGTCTCTCCCACCTCGCCCTCCTCTTCGGTGCGCCGATCTCTCTCTCTTCCCCGTCGTTCGCACGATCGCGCTAGCTCTCTCGCACCTCGTAGCCGCGCGCGCGCGAGAGTACCGCCCCTGCGAGTGTTGCTCGCGCTCTGTCCCGCGGGGGCCAGCGATTTCAAGAATGTGACAGTGCGCGTCCTCGCGGTCGGTCGGTTGGACGGACGGTTTTCTCTGCTCGGGAAGCCGAAGGTAGTGGCAGGCGACGGAGGAGCGGCGGCGATGGGTGTCGGGAGCCGTCGTCGCGACGTCGTGTCACGGTGAAAGAAGTACGGCAGCGCGTGGAAAAACGTGAGCGCGAAGAGATAGAAGAAGAAGCAGAAGAAGAAGGGAGAGAAGGACGGACGATGCGAGCGGAAAATGTCACTCGGTGATACGCGTGCACGGATGACGGGGAGTGATCGACGGAGCGACGGTCGCGAGTCTGAGGTTGTTAGAGTATCGTCGCGGCGGCGGTGGTGGTGGTGGTGGCAGCGGTCGTCGTCGTCGTCGTCGTTGTCGTCGACGTCGTCATCGTCATCGTCGCTACGCGGTGCCGCCGGTGTGGTGGTGCCGGCATTGGCGACGGCACAAGCGCCGGATCGCCGGGAACGGGTGCGACGTTATCGCGTTTCTCTGCCGCGAGCATCAACGAAATCGGACTCCTCCCGTCGCACGACGGTGGCAACGTCGTCGTCGTCGTCACGCTCATTGTCGCCGCGTCAACAGCTGGCGAGAATCGCGGCGGGCTCCTGCTAAAGGGGATCTTCGCGACGCGACGTCGCCGGTGGTATATACGCCGCGCGCACCGTCTCGTAAAGTGCGTACGTATATCGCACACCTACACGCGCGTACGCACGCTGTCGTCGGTGTGTGTGTGTGTGTGTGTGCCGGGTCGCGAGGTTAAGGCACCGCGTCGCCCTCGATACGCGACGGCCGAGGAAAGTAAAGGCCGGGTGTCGTGCGTGCGCCGACCGATTCGTTTCGTGCTCACCCTCTCTCGCCTCTCCCCCCTTCCCTCACCATTGCCTTCCCCCCTCCCTCTCGCCTGGTCTCTTCTTTCTCCTCTCTCTCTCTCTCTCTCTCTCTGTCTCCTGTACGTGTATGTGACGAATAAGAAGCGCGACAGTCTATCAGTAACAACGCGCGCGTCCGTCGGTGGTAACCTCACCGGTCTCGAGGTGTGTGTGTGTGCGCGCGCGCCTGTGTGTATGCGTGCGTCCGAATCGTCTGCCTCGTGGTGCGTCTTATACGTCGTCGGACGACCGCGAGTTGCCTGTCCGCGATGCCGACAGTGGCTCGCGCATACGGTCGTCGTGCAGATTGCCCGCGAGGATACCACGGGGTGTCCGTCGACGAGAAGAGCGAGGACACGTGAGGATAGAAGAGATTTTGGAGGACCGTTTTGGAGAACGCGTTTTATATACCTACATATAGAGCTGCGATAAAAACCGAGATTCTCGGCTGCCGAGAGAAGAGGACGAGAGGTAAATGAGAGTTCAAGGTCAGCCGGTAGTGCTGTTGGACCTGAGCTCGTTTACGCGGCAAAAGGAACTTATCCGGAGGAGAAGGTGGACCGTTCCTCGCCATCGCCGTGCTCGTTCGAAGTCGGAAATATCACCGGCAGAGAAACGTACACGTCGCTATACGGTCGCCAGCCGGTCGGCGAGAGGAAGAACGAGAGGAGAGAGAAGAAGAAGAATCGTGAAACGGAGCTCCGCCGTGCCGCGCGTTGGACTGTCACACTATTTCGGGACCGTGATCCAAAGTGCGCGCGAGATTCGCGCGCGGGCATAAATAAATATACACGCTTGCGTGAACGTCGCGACTGTGTTTTGTGTGTGTGAAAAAGAGAGAGCGAGAGTGTGTGTGGGCTCTATCATCTGTGATTTTTTCGTGTGCACCAAGAGGTGTTTTTTCCGTTGACAGTTCGTCTTTGATGCTTGTTGACGAGAAGAAAAAAGAAGAAGGAGAAGAAGAAGAGAAGAAGAAGAAGAGGAGACCTCGCGGAGGAGAATACTTGAAGAGGGAGGTCGCGGCAAGCGCGCGCGACCGGGCGCGTATGCGCGTACGTGTGTGGCGTGTGCGTGATCCAGCCCTCGTCTCCCCCGCCCGTCGGGTTTCCTTTTGTTTTCCTACGGCGGCTACGTTGAAAAGGACTGGCCACCAAATGCGCGTACCGCAAATCCTGTTTCATGTTGATGTTCTGGAGCAAACGGACGGACAGACTCACTAGACGTCTGCTAAAGGCCAAGGTCCGTGGGGAGCATGAAACCGAGTGTGAAGCTCAAGAGGATTCATCGTCACGTACGTTTCATCGCACGAGCAGCAGCAACGCGAGCGGCGCCGCCGCCGGCTACGACAACACGGGCAGTAACAACAACAACAAAGCGACGACGACGGGCCGACAAGTGAGCAGGGTAGCGGCGCGAGGAACAGCGTTGTCGGGAAGCGGCGCGGGGACAGCGTTGTCGGGGAGCGGCGCGGGGACAGCGTTGTCGGGGAGCGGCGCGGGGACAGGAGGAGGAGGAGGAGGAGGAGGCAGTGGCGGAGCGGTGGCTTACGGGGGACGCAACACCGCGTCCAGCAGGCTGCATCAGGGTTGCTGCGGCGGCGACACGAGTCAGGATGACGACGAGCAGCACCCCGGTCGGTTGCTGAGGTGTAAGGAGCTCCTCAAGACGCTCAAGGAGAATCAACTGGAGATGCTGCTGACCGCCGTCGAGAGCTACGGCGCCGATCTGGGCTCGTGCGTTCTCGTGCCGCGTCAGGTCGAGGACTATTCGTCGTATAACGATCAGCAGCACGAACAGCAGCAATATCACGGCAGCAACGGCCGGCCGCAACGTCATCACATCCGTCATTTTCATCAGCGTCGCTATCGTCAGTATCGGCACCACCGCTCCAGCAGACACCACCGCTCGTCCTCCATCGAGGACGACCAGGAGAGCTGCTGCTCCGCGTCGGAAGACTCCTCGTCCATGTCGCCGATGAGATCGGCGAGAAGCGGCGTCGTGCCGGTGAGAGGATCAGCGGCCGAGAGGGGCGCCGGCGTGCTGTGCGACCCGCATCTGCTCTGCTGCCAGATCTGGCGGTGGCCGGATCTCGAGCACTCCTCGGAGCTCAAGAGACTACCTATGTGTCATTCCGCTAAAGATCCCGTATACATATGCTGCAACCCTTACCACTGGAGCCGGCTCTGCAGACCCGGTAAGCGAAACGTCTTTGCTTTCTTCCTCCCGTAGTTTTGTTGTCGCTGCTTCGCGAGAGATAAATCAAACAGACCGACCAGAAATTTTGCGAAAAGCATAAGAGTTACGTAACTAATTCACACAAATATATATCTCAACGTCGTACGCCAAAACTCACCCAGCGGTTTATCACTCGATCGAATCGACAGGCAACATTTTTACGTTTATATTGATTAAATCTGATAAAATAATTTATCAGATTTAATTAAATTTGATACAGAAAAAGATATTCTGCTAAAATAAAGATAAAACAAAATAACGTACTGTAAATTTTAATTATTTACATGTCTGGGTTTAAAATCGTTTGGTATAATTGAACGTGAATCTACATTTATCGATTCTCGATTCTCTTACATATTTGAAAATGTGTAAAGAATCGAGTCACATTAGCAATACATGCCTTTTTGGGGAACTTTTCGCAGTACAATCCCGTTTAACATGTATCAAACTGTGTTGCCGTCGCCGCGCCGGTGTCTAGACGGTAGAATAATTTAACGTCGTAACGTACAACTCGCTCCATTATAACGCTAAGCCGCAAACCGTGGACCAATCGTCACCTGTTCAGACCTGCACGATGCTAACAAGCTTAAAGGCTCTCGGGCCGATGTAAAACAGAATTTATTAACAGGCAGCCTCGCTGGTAGCCGGGTGTCTGCCTGGTTACATTCAAAATGTAGACAAATATAGGCAATATACAACTGGCCGAAGTGCCGACGATTTTCCACCGCCGTGGAAGTCGAGCGGATGAACGAGAAATTCGGAAACACCTGTTACTTCCACTACGAAACGGTTTTTCGCCGTTAAAATTACAGGATAAAATTTCGCAAAAGATTTTAACGCGCATCGATTATTTTTACGAGATTTTTATAATATAACATTTATTAATAATAATGGTTGCACGTAATGTACGTAAAGTGATAATAGTTGTATATGAAGTTAACTGTAGTGGCTGAAAGTTATCAACTTTCAAAAGATTAAATTGTCATAAATTTTAATTTTGGATTAAGGAAAAATAATTTAGTTTAAATTACCAAAATGAATCCTTTCAAACTCGTTTTTCCTTTCAAATGTCGAAAGTGTTGACAGGTAGACATTCGAATCTGATATACATCAACCTCTTTTCTTTTTGAATGCGCTTTTGTGTCGTTTTTAGAAAGTTCACGCCAGATGAATTCATTCTAAAAATTTAAACTAACCAGGGGATTTATTTTACGTTTACTTATTATGATTTTCCCAAAGTCATTTTCCTGCCAAAAGAATTTTTCTTAAAGATACAAGGGACGAATGTGTTTCAAAGGAATTCATTCATCAATACCTGATGGATGGTGGGAAAAAGGAAACCAACAGTGAGTCATCGGTAGATTTTCCGAAGCGTATCGTGTATTTTCGTGGGAACGATGGGAATATCGTAAACGGAAACGTCAACTTTGAGAAAATGTTTTAATGAGTTTTCAAATACTCTACGATTTTTGCGTTATCTCTAATCTTAATCTAATCCTAATCGTTATCTAAATTTTACGTTTCGAAATACAATGGTACGTGCGTTTTTTTTTTTTTTTTAATTTAACGCCTGTCTTTGGAGAGTTTCTTTGAAAACATCTTTTGAAACGGTGTCTTCATGTAATAACTGTGCGACTGTCTTCACACTGTTTACGCCGTGTACTTGTGGTATTCGTCACGTTTGAAGAAAGCGCCGAATTTATGGGCCTTACGGCACCGGGCCGTGACTGTCTCCGGGATCCGTCGTCTGGCGTCGTTCGACAAATTCGTCCGCAAAAAAGCGTCGCGTCCTATAAAAGAGAAGGAGGGAACGAGAGAGGAAGCGAACGAGCAGGCGCCAGTAAAATGCGCCTTTACGTAACCCCGGCGATCGTTTAACCCGTCGCCGCCGTCACCGCCGCTGCCGCCGTCGCCAAGCCGAGCGAATTCGATCGTGCGAACCACGACGATACGGCGTTTCGATACGTCGAAGAATATTTTTTCTCAAAACGTGTTCAGAATCAAAAGATTATAAAATTTAAAATTTAAATAATTGGTTTCCTCGCAGACATTTAATTTAAAATGTAATATATAAATTTACATTTAAAATTTAAAGAGTATATTCTCAAAAAAAAACTCTTTTGCAACAATTTACAAAATCTATTTGAATATTTGCCGAGAAAGGATCGAGGATTAAAGATCGTCGAAAGGTTGTGCGAACGCGGGAAAGTTATACAATGTCGGAAGTTACGTCCAATACCACGAAATCGCTGTTTTTTAGTTTAATTTTAACCCGCGCTTCTTGGACACACGTGCGTGTGCACTCGCACTCCGGACATCAGGCGGCACCGCCCATGCGGCCCCAGATTATAAATAGAAAACTTTATATAATAAATATTCTATAACAACGAATTTAGCCCCCCAGATGAGATTAACGGGCGATCGGTTCGGCGACGGGAACGGCACGCCTCGAACGTATACCATTTAATAATTTCTCGGATGGGGGTGACTCACGTGCGTTAAGCCACGCGTTAATTGAGCCGATAAATAAATGCCGGCTAATTACGTCGTCGCACGCGCGAAGACACTCCACCGGCTTCTCTCCCCGGTTCGCACGGTGGTCACGATAAATCGAATGACGGGTGCCGAGTACACGAGTGCTCGATGCTCAAAAAATCTGGCGGAATCCCGCCCCAAGAACGTATTTAACGACGTCGCGTCGCTCGCGTTCCTCGGCCGTCGAGTCGTAAAATTGGCGGGGTTCGAGTATATCCTGTATACGTATCGACATTCTCTAATTTGAAAGATTAGTGACGATTGATACGAGATTGCTGCGAGCGAGAGAGAAAGAGAGAGAGAGAGAAGTGCGGCTTTTTCCACCGGTAAGCCCGAACGCCGCTCGAGTAACGTGACCATTGACGCGAGTGCCCACCGGCGCCGGTGGCCTAATCGTGACGACGTCGATTCGTTACAGTCGAGCGCGCCGCCGAGCACGTTTTATCGATAATATCGAGCACCGTTTATTGCTGGAAAATCGTATCGGATAGGCGCGACCGATCCGCCGGCGACACCTCCGCAGAAAGAAAAAAAAAAAGGTCGCGAAGGTGCCGAGATAAAATCGCGGCCGTGCTGTTTCGTAATTAACGGCGCGCGACGCCCGAGGAAAATAAGCGGATCCTTCGAATTCCACGCTGAGGTTTCCACGGCTAATAATAGCGCGCGCGCGCTCGCGCCGCATATGCACGCCCGCGGAGGAAGTTGGCGCATTTTGGGGAAAGAGAGGCGGGAGAAAGCGAGCGAGAGCGACGGCTAACGACGAAATAGTCGCGCGTCAGCTGCGCGGTGACACCCCGCTCCGGACAGATCGGATTCTCGGTGTTGACGCGGGGAGAAGAGCTGAGGAGAAAAAAAAGAGACTTGATTAAGAGAGACGCACGTTGAAAGAAAAGAAGCGAGTCGGATGAGAATGTAGGTAGGGCCCCGCGTATTATGCGGATGAGAAGGAGCGAGAGAGCGGCACTTACCAATGGCCACACAATCAAAGTTATGGCCAGAAGGAAATGAATCTAAAAATAAAACGTATATTGGGCGAGTCAGTCGCGCGGCTGGCGGAAAGACGGTGACGCGAGAGTGGGAAGGGTTGGTCGACCGGCAAGGCGACGGTGGCGGTGGCGGCGACGAGAGAGAAGCAGAAAGAGAGAGAGAAAGAGTTGCGCGACGGGATGGACGGGACGAACCGACGCGACGAGGAAAGAGCGAGGCGAGTTTAGCGGGCGAGCGAGAATGCGAGAGAGACGCGACGGGGGAAAAGGAGCGGATGGCAGACTGAGGACGGGGCGCCGTCGAGCATGTGCGGTTAGGAAGGGCAACGACGGCGGCGAGGGGAACGACGCGCGCGGGGGGCACCGTCCGTCGCGGCGCAGCGAAACCGTCGGCGGGATCGCGCGCGGGAGGGGACACGAGGTGGGACGCGACGGCCGCGACGGCCGTGAAGAGAGAGGGGACCGCAGCCCGGCGCCGCTGCGTGTCATTGCTGGCGCCAGCTAATTGTCGAGGCCAGCCGGCATTAGCCGAGGAGCTGACCGAACTGAGTCGAACTCCACGAAAGCAGGCAGGCAGGCAGGCAAGGCAGACAGGCAAGCAGGCAGGCGAGCGAGCAGGCAAACGCGACGGGTATCCGAAGCTCCGACCCGACTCCACTTGGGTCGCGTTGTGCGGTCCGACTCCGCCGGTCGAAGAATCCCGCTGACCGATTCTCTCCCGATTCGTCTCGGGCTCTTATTAAGCTACGTATTTGGTAAAAATTCTGATAATAAATAGATGTCCATTGCTGCGCTTCTCGATATCAATTATCGTTTTGTCTTTAATTTCTTTCAATGTCGCGGCGAGATTGAAAAAATAAGATCTTATCCGTGGTTGTTCTCTTACAAAAATGTATGTAGAATTTAATTTTCAGAAACACTCACAATTTTCCTCGACGTTTGACGACAATGGTCATTAGAATTCGATCTTTACAAGAATCGTTTCAATATTCGCAATAATTAATATAGAGGACACTATTAATTTATCGCCATTCATTGCCATTATGTGCATTTTCTGGGGCAAATTGTATAAATACGTCTGCTTGCAGCGCTGACCTTCGATCGTTGAAATTTTTGAGATTCGTCGGTATTGGGGACAGCGAAGGCGTCGGGAATCTTGGCTTGGTACCGATGTTTATTATATTCTCAATCTCTTGGACGCGCGCGTGTTAGTGATTTCGACGGATCGGGAATAGGTTTCCTGGGAATTTGAGTTCTCGCTCGCTGCGCATTGCGGAGAATTCCAACGGCACTTTAGACTCCGTTGTTCAAAACAAAGACTGATCACGCACCGAAATGACGTTCCGGCGCGGTTTCTCCACGTGCCGGCATTCGCGAAGGATTATCGCTTCCATGCCGTATACATAAATCACAATTCTACGATGTATAAAATTCGATGGCGCCGTTTCACTGAAGCGGGGAGGGGGGAGGTTAACGAGGTGATCAAACGCAATACGAATGAATAACTTCCTTGTTTATCTTACAAAAAAATACTGTCTGCACCATTTCCAAAAATTGCATTGCAATATACGTATATGCAAGAAGAATGTTTCTTACTGCTTTATAAATTTTTTTTATCTATAGATATACACGTTTATTTTCGTATACCGTGACGCATGCGTTATTTAGCCCACAGCTCGAAATAACGCGCGTATTCAATATGCAATGACGCGTGTACGACGACCGGCGGCGGCGGCGGCGATCGCGCCGGAGGCGCTCTCGCCTATTTTTCCCGTCGGCTCAATTTACGCGCAACCTCGCCTGACTCGCAAACGGACACCGGACGCGACCCATTGTCAGCGCGCACGATCGTCGATAGGCGTACGTTAATTTCGCGTCGGATCGCGGCGCCGCCGCCGCTGCCGTCGCCGCGGCGTTTTATCGCGCGTAAATCGTTCCCGCGGTGGCGCCTTGTTTTCGCAACGCCGCGACACAAACTCGTCGTCTTTATCTGTGTTTTTTTTTTTGCGTCCGGCCGGTCGTTCGTTCACACATTGCCGCGGCGTCCGGTTAATAATTCACGCCGGCGAATCGATTATCATCGGTCAGTCGGCGACAAATGCGGCGGCGGCTATGTGTCGTCGTTACGCAAATCGTCGTCGCGGCGCAGGTTTTTATCACCGCACCGCGCGATCCGGCGCGTAATGTGCATGACTTTCTCCGCTGTCCTCTCTCCCCTCTCTCCCGTGCTCCGATATTCATTCATACCCGAAAGCGCAATCAGGAGGTGACTTTCATGCCACTTCTTTTTCTGGCGCGATTCATCGGGAGTCATTCGCGTTATACGACAACACGTGCAGTTTTTTTTTTTCCTTTATCCGAGGCAAAGGTTTATTGAGTATTTTTCTGTATCGTCCACGTGCGGTGCATCTTTGCCTTGGGAACGCGACACGCGCGTTGCGGACGAATTCAATAAATGCAATAAAATTTATCTTTCCCGCGGTTGACAATCGGATAAACAGGCCTAGAAATAGGCGCGTCTCGGTTGGAAGGAGACGCTCGTCGGCGCGAATTACGTAACCGCCACGGGAGCGCCGCGCGTTTATTATAAGTGCCTTAATTAGCGGCTGAAATATCGCCGTTTAAATCGCGCGCTCCCATCTTGTTATTCAAATCGTGCCAACTCCGGCTCGAAGTTTGAAGCGCGTCGATGAGTGACACGCCGCGCCCGGCTTTATTAAAGTCCGGCCGCGGACGAGTTTTGATGTAAGTTCTATTTGCATATCCGCAGTGGTACCGCCGAATTTGTTAAAAAAGAGTGATGCTTTAAAAATATGTGACACCTTAAATTTCGAAAAAAAAAATTGATTTTTTCACTATGAAACTCTATATAGTTCTCGAAGATGGACTATACAATTCCTGATAGGTTTCAGAAACAGCTCCGTCCTTTAACTTTAATTTTAAATATTTTAACCCGAGTGCGCTGACACCTAGTTCAAGAATAAAGTGTACGATATAGCGAGCTTTAATCTGACACTCCGCACCCGATTCCCAACATCACGGCGCAGCGGCCATTAGTCGGCCGCGGCGCCGCGCTTATTATCTATAGGAATTTCGGCGCTCTCCTGTCGTTAGACAACAAATATGTACTTTCCTCGAAGAGACTCAAAACGGATGTTATTTTAGATACGCCGATCCAAGATGCAATATATCAATATTTGATTGTAATCTATGATTTCAATCGTGGATTACGTAATATTATCATTATTGTATGTGCAAATTTTTATTCAGACAATTGATAAAAACGATTTCTTTTTATCAATCTATACTTACGTTTCAGAGTTTAAAATCGTATAAAAAAGAATATCTTAATTATTTTCGTCGAAAATTTGTCACGTTCTTTGTCACCGTAGAATAAATGAATAATTTCGACAAATACACTTTTCACATGTGAAATAAATTTTTTTAATTACGTGGAAAAAATTATTTTATATTGTAAAAATTATTTGGAAGAGATTTAATGTTCACATGAGGCTAATCGATTGCCAAGCTTCTCACGGCGAGGATTCACTCGAGGGTCGCGGTTACCTGCAACGCACCTGTGTAATGTACCTTACATGCGTGATCTCGCGCCGCGCGGGCTTGCGAGCGACGGAGGCGGCGTTTCATTCTCTTAGACACGGGGAGAGCGTCGGGTTACTTACTACCTTCGATGTTCGAGGTATTCGCGCCGCGGTTTGTCCTCTATCACTTTCAGGGCGATACGTAAAAGGACGAAAAATGCATGGCATACCGGTTTCGCTGGCGCTCCGCGCTCCAATAATAGAGCCCGCCACTTTTGGCCTGGACTTCTCTAGCGGGCGCCAGTCGTTTGTCACGATATTTCGCGTCGCCGCGGCCGTCGCGTCCGCTCGTCATCGACGTCATTAATTCGATTTAATCGAAAGCCACCTTGAGTCCGTTTCTCAATGCCTCCGCGATCGATGCGGATGTGTATATTAATTGTAAGCAGCACCGGCCCGATTTGTTTCTCCAGCCCGAAATTAACGGAGATGAGCTTATTGATGATGTCTCTTTTATTTAATATTAATTTTACTATTAATGTTTAACATTAATTATTTAGATGCCGAATATAATTACTAAAATAATAAGTTACTTAATAATTACTACTAGAAAAGTACACTATAAAATTATGATTTAAAGGCATTAAATTATATTATTTATACTATACTAAAAGATATTAAAATGAGAGACATGAAGTGTTTTACATTTAACTTTGATTGTGATACAAACGATATCACACGTCCGTTTATCCTTATCCAGTTCCCAGTCGTGCGATGATACTTAATGATTATCATTTTCTATTTCAGAGTCGCCACCACCCCCGTATTGCCTTATCGCCGACAGACTGAGACCCGAAGGTGAGTGTTTCGTCTTTCACGCCGTAATCAGGAATGTCTACCAGCGAATGTGCGTGCGTGCCTGCGTGTGCATGTGCGTGTATGTGTGTGTGTATGTGTGCGTTGCTTCGCGCACCCATACCGGCGATAACTCATGTTTATTGCTTGCAAACGTTTACCGTACAAGCAGCGAGGTTCGTCTCTCCTAGCGCGCGTGTCGTGTCTCACGACCTAGCCCAAAGCAAGGTTGGGGATAATCCGGGACGACGAATGCGAGTGGCAGCGTTCCCATCTTTCGAAGTACCGCGCCGAGTTAATCGGCGTACGTGCTCTACGAGATTGCGCGAATAATAGACACGTATAACGATATCTGAACATATTGGGAGGGATCTCTCTTCTCTCTCTGTCAATTCCTGACGTTCATAATCCCCCTCCCCCTCTAAAAATTATTTCTTTTGATACTTTTATTTAACGTATTTCTTTTAACGTCATCATCGCTCGCATATATATAATTAATATGTTATTAATAAATTTTCGTCGTGCACGAGATCAATAAAGTCGCATAATAGATATCGATATAGTTTTCTTTGTGCCACGGGAGCTCGAAGTGACGCGGGAAAAAGAAAAGGCATCGAGAGGATCTGTACGATGACAAATACACGGCATTCCAGTCGTACGTACCAGAGGTTCTCACACTTTTCACGGCTGCGCACCGCCGCGGATTCCTGAAATGATAAATAGATCGTTCCGTCGCGAATAAAACCGACGATTTTATTAGATGGAGTTGAGCAAGAACACACAGACGCGCCGCGTTCGTACAGGTTGGTTTACGATAGCATTCTCGTCACACACCTCGGGGGTTCTCAACCAGGCGCAGAGCGGTAACATTATCTCGCGAATAGAATCAGCTATTCTTGCAAAATTTTGCAAAAAATAAATAAATATATCTAGGTACACATATACATTTTTTATATATTATGTATGTGTGTACGTGACATGTGTACGTGTACATGACAAGTATTGTTTCGAATATATGTATATAAGATGTAGAAATAAAACAAGCCCGGCTAAATGAGAAATCGAAATAATATGCGCTTACTCTCGAGGTTCTTTACGGTCATAACTACGCGCTGTAAGCCGATCTTGTTGATCGCAGAATGTGCCGATAGATTTCATGATATCGCCGTTTCAGCGGTTGATCAATGTATCCGCTAGCCAATACTGGTCCACCGCAGGTGGAGGCTGAAGCGGTCTCGCTTGTACGCGAGGAGAGCGCGAGACATCGATATTAACATTTATACAGCAAAATATTTTTAATCGCAAAACATTGTTGATTTGCTTATTATTATTATTTTTTTAAAGATCCGTAACAACTTTGACGTAAAGGATCAAAGTCACGTCCGCGCGTTATAATCTCTTTTCGAGATTATACTCTCGATACGTCATCGAGAGTAAATCATTTCAATCTTACCTGGAATACGTGTCGCAAAATGCAATATCGCGTATCGTAGGATCTCAAAGAGCTGATAGATATAAAGAACCGCGCTTCGTAAAAGTCACGGAAAGATCCTGGAACGATATTTTCTGCCAACCACATCTTCTCGCTCCCTCCCACGTCACCTCGCTCTCCTCGTCCGCGTTTCGACTACCGTCTCCCGTGCGTTTCTCTCCTCTCTCTCTTCTTCTTCCGCGGCCAAACCTAAACTGGTTCTCTCGGGATCGATGCGAACGCGCGAGTATACAACACGGATCGACCGCGCGGTCATCGATAGATTCGCCTTTCTTTCACCGAGAAACCCTCTCGCGCGTGATCGCGCGATTACGCGAATACGACGTGTGTCGAGCCCTCTCTCATATACGTCCGGCATTCTCTTTGAAGTCGAGCGTGCCAAGGCGTGTAATGAAATAATGGTATCACCAAGTCTGGTCGCGAGCACTGTGTATAGTAAAGTAAAATATCGACGTCGACGTATGTAACATTTATAGTTTCTTTTTTTTTTGTTATTAAAAATAGCAGGGATTGAACATCTCCATCTCATCGAAGTTGGCGGTGTATGTGTGCCAAGCCTGATATGACGAAATAATAGCGCCTGCAGTTAGAGGAGAACCGCACGTTCGCGATGACGTTAGGTGTGCGTCTATAGATTATATAGTGGACGCACTTATATAGCAGAAAGAGAAAGAGATAGAGAGAGAAAGGGAGAAAAAGAGAGAAATACCGCTGAGCACTTGGTGTGTTGTATGTATACCGCCTGAGGTCAATATCTCCTATCGATAGAGAGAGGACCGTGTGTACAGCAAGTAGCTCGCATTTATACAAAGGAGGATCCTGCTAAAGGACCAACACGCGTTCTCGAACGTATATTATTCAATCCTTAGGATTACGAATAAATTCAAATTCCTGATCTTTCCGATCACGGTTGGGGTACTCGAGCTTCAGCGAATATAATCGGAACTTAATCGAGAAGTTAACACAAGTAAAATCTTATATATATATTATATATGTATTATTAATTTTTTTATTCAGAATTTTTAAATACATTTCTATTTATTTCTGATAAACGGCACGTTAGCGTTATCGCGCCACGATCACGAGTCGCGCCTTTCCGATTCGCGCCACGCCGCTCTAGCGCGAAAGAGACTAGAAAGCTCGCGTTTTAACGTTAACCGCTTGTCAATCGTATAAGTGACTTGTGAATCAATAATGACAGCCCTACTTACACGCGCGCGAGCATACCGATATGATAGATATAGCTAACGTATGGAAAACGCGCGGGCGAGGAAGCGTATGTTTTTCCGCGGCGGCGTAGGTGGGGAAGGGAAGCGGGTTTCTTCTCGGAAGGAGACTCTCTGCCTCCGTCGTAAATCTGTCTTTCGGGCGACGACGGGCGCCCGCGCGAATTTATGCCCCGTCGCGGAAACTGGGCCACCGCGCTGCGTGCCGAAGCGTACGAATGGCGTACGACGACGACGGCGGTGGTGGCGGCGGCGGCGGCGGCGGCGACGGTAACGGATAAAAGTCCGCCACTTGTTGCTGCTTGCGCGACGCGACGCGATATTATTCCTAACGCGAAACGGAGCGAACCGGTGACTCGCGCGGGGAAATTCCGCCAATGCGCGTGCTCTCTCGTCGCCTCGTGGGAGGAAAATAAAGGGGTGACCCAGTGGAAAAGAACGCGGCAGCGCGTCTACTCGAGCTATCACCTTCAAGTTCCTTCCACATCGAGCGTCCCCGAGCGATCTCGCTTCTCTCCTTCTATGATGTTTTATTCATAATTTCACATACCTGATATCTAATTAAAATATTACGTAAGCGTCTAAGGGTCGCACCTACAAGGTTTAAATTATGGTGATGGACTCGTATATAATTTCTTTCTCTTTTTTGTATATCTATATACGCCGAGACATGTGTACCCCTCTTATTGAGGCGTGTGATTGGGAATATCCTTACGACCGCAGGGTTAACTTGACTTTTGCACGTGCTACCTTGTGCTCCCGTGTCAGATGTAGAGTTCCGCCAATGCGGTTGCGCAAATTTCAACGAATACGACGAAGGACACACAACGCGCGCACCACGCAGTCCCTTTCAAACGCGCGCGAGGACAAGCGCGCGTGTCGCGCGTTACGCGACTTACGTTTTTAATCCTACTCTCCTCTGCGATTCGTCTCTCGGATCAGATTCCAATCTTTGTCTCATAATCTATTGGATTGCGTCCGATTAATGTCGTGCTTCGTTCTCTCGGGTGCCGATCGTCTGCCGTCGTAGATAAACCGAGCACTATTCCATTCGTTCGCGAATTAAAAAAAAAGGAAGAAAAAACGCAGAAGCTGTAAGAAATCGTAGAAAGTGCAGCTAAGCGCATTTGCTAACGGTCCACCTGTCTCGAAAGAATGTACGACGCGGTAGTGGATATATAACCGGTTTTAAAATGGGCTGGGCTTTGTTATTTTACCGACGAAACAAGTCATTGTGAGAGGGAGACGAAACATTAAGATGGAAAGATCAAAGGGACATCTCCCAGCCCCCTAAAGTGGTCCCTTTCCATAACGCGAGGCCGTGTTTCGTTAATAGATCGGCGACTTTTGTACGCAGCCTTGAAAGAACGAACTTAGCTCCGGTAATCTCCGCTCGCTAATCCCCCATGAGAGGTTAAGGGCACGGAGGTACAGATAAGGCCAACCTTAGCGCCGGTCAAAGGATGGGGCTGAGTAAGCGCGGACTTAAAGACGTGATCCCGGGGAGCGGAGGCGGTGGGCGCCTGTCGCCTGCCTTTACGCTTGCCTACTCGCCGCGACGTCCTTGAACACATCCCTTCTCCCCTTCCTTCCGTTCTTCTCTCTCTCTCTCTCTCTCTCTCTCTCTCTCTCTTCCCATCTCTTCGTCTCCCTTCCTCTGTCTCTTGCTCCTCGTCTCGCTCACCCGATCTTTCCCTCTGTCTTTCACCGTCCCGCCCGCTTCGCTCGAAAGAGCAAACTCAAGCGCGCACTTTGCCCCTTCTCACTCTCTATACCAATCCTCCAGCTTCTCTTCTCTCTTCCTCGTTTACTGCGCCTTCTTTCGCCGTCGTCTACCGCGCGCGACTTATTCAATCAAAAAATCCCCCTTCTTCTCTAAAATAATATTCCCGATATTCCATTCGCGAGGAAACTCCCTCTGTCCCGCGATAAAACTTCACTTGCGCCGAGATATATGGAATGTTCGAAGATTATAATTTATCGCGAGCGATCGTGATTTATCGTCGATCTTTACGAAGAAGAGCCGATCGTAGATTCGTCGGGGGGGAAATCTGTTATCGGCTATGCCGCGGCTAGAAGCCGGCGTATTCTCGGTATGATGAAACCCCTCTCTCTCTCTCTCTCTCTCTCTCTCTTTCTTTCTCTCTCTTATCCTCTTCTCCGCGCTCCATCCTCCTTTCGCTCTCCTCTCGTCTCCGCTCGACCGACCGCCACGAGGCCCACGAGTCGCCGGCGATCGGCGGGAGTGGCTCTCTCGCATTCCGGTGCCTCCTTCGCCGTATACCGATCGCGCCGGCAGCGTTTGCGACCGGACCCGGAGAACACCGAGCGCGCCGCGCGGGCATGCACGCCGATTTCCGGATCGGAGGAGCCCGACGAGATGCCGCGTTTGAAGATCCGCCAGCGAGATCCCTAATTCGATGCAGCTTGCTCGGTATCACGGCATAGGGAGGAGGGGGAGTATATCGTGCGCGAGTACGCCGCGGCGCATTATAATGTGCAAACGTCGATCCAGCCTCTCTCAATGTCGCGACATTCAGCGCGACGGATCCGCGCTGCCGACTAAAACGATTCGCGGTATCGCAAACTTTAAGTTTCGGACGTCACCGTCGCGTCGCGACGAAAAGGAAAAGTTGCGTGAAAGTTCAAGATCGAGTCTTATATTCTCGGAATACTTATACGCTCGGTGAACAGCATTTTCGGTCACCTCACACGATTCACACACAAAACCTGATCGAAACTCGTGTGATATTCAACGATCACGGTTCCTTCGTCGAAGAAAGAAAAGATACCGTCGGTATCTCTTCCTTCGTCTTCCCTCTCTTTCTCTCTTTGTCTTTCTCTTTTGCGACACTCTTCCCACAAGCCAAAGCCCATAATTCACGAATTCCGTTCACCTTGAGAGCGAACGAGCGAGCGGGCGGTGGCGCCGCCGGTCGAATCTTCCGCGTGGCTATATATTTTTGCAAACTCGGCGGTGACACTATCTCACAGATTCGCGCGCGGCACTTAACGGCTTATAGTGACACGCGTAATTCGCGGAATTATATTTACGCTCCCTTTGTGGAGTGACGCGCGTGCCAAAATCGCGCCGCGAGCGCTCTCCCGTTCGGTCTTACTTTGTAAATAAATTGTATTTACCCGACGCGCGCGCGCGTTGCGGCATTGTAGGTATATTGGACGTCGACCGACGACAGCGAGTATAATAAACCGCGGGTCCGCGTGTCAATTTGCTCCTTATCGGTCGGATAAATATTTGCGCCGATAATCGCCTGCGCGCTCTGATTGTTTGCCGCGTTGCATGGCGTCGTTGCCGCGAGTCTGAAAAATCGTAGAAACTTAGAAAATCTATCCGCGAAACAACCAACATTCGATATCTTGTAATTTACGTTCAGCAAATTCGTGGAAATTATATCTGAAATTATCTTCCTTTGTTCGCGTTAAAAGTTTCACAATTAAAAACAGTTGCGAGATCTTTCGCTAGTTGGATGAGAAAATCTTCTTTACCGATATATTTGTCGTTTTTATTGAACAGTATAAAGTGCGTTATATAATTAAGTGTTGTATCAGTAAGATTATATTTTTCATTGAGACGAGCAAAAAAAATATAATAATTTCATCAGGAAACGCCGAGCGAGTTTCAATTTCTATTTATGTAACAACAGTCTCTCTTGCGTGGGAAACAGGACAAGGATTCGGTGGAAAGAGAGAGAGGGGGGGGGGGAGGAGAGAATTCTCCTGTGCGAAATTCGCTCGACGCGACGCTACAGCGACGGAGGCGAGGTCGGCGCGGATTTTTAAATAATTGCGTCCTAAAAATAGACGGCTCTCCTCTTCGTCTTCACGATATCCTTGAAAGACCCCATTCCTTGTCTTTGCCCTCGCCGCTTTCTCTAATGCTTTTGGGTGCTACGTGGCAGGAAATGGTCCTCCCGTAGGAACGAGATTCTGGAATCCAAAAGGAATGCGACCGTCCACTCATCCGACTTGTTCTCCTGACATCTTCTCTTTTGGTGAATGGACCTAGCCTTCCATGGTCCTATCCCTAAAACTATTAGCATGTCGTATTAGTATATTCATCGAAATCTTTTGTAATGTAGCCTATATATTACATTAGTAATATTCGTAATTCGTACTTTGAAAACAATATTTTATCTTGAGACGTTTTATTTTTAAGACGTTTTATTTTCTATTATTTTCTATTTTCAATTTTCTTATCCTGTTAAATCTATTTCGTTAAATTAAATAGAGTTAAAAATATGTACTGCTTGATTAGATTATATTATTAGTACAATTCTTAAATAGAGTCGAAACAAAGTATATTTTTAAACAAAAAATCATTAAAATAATTTTCTAAATAAAACAATAGATTTTAGAAGACCAATGAATCACTTTGGGATATAAAAAAAAGAATGAATTTTAAAAGACATTAAAATCGAACGTTCGCAGTCCATTTACGAGAAAGACGAGGACAGACTAACATTGTTTCGTAGCGAATTATAGTTGGCCGTTCTGTTTGTTATACGAGACTTTTGCCACGGTGCGCGCGAATAAATTATCCGTCTCGAGCGAATAATTATTTTGGACGATTCTGTCACCTCCTTTGTGCCACCGCGAAAGAGAAAGAAGGACGGAGAGAGAGAAAGAAAAGAGACATTTCCGTGAGGGGGAACTATGAATCATGCCGTCTGGCGATTACCTTGGCCGTTTCTGTCTCTTCTGGTCCGCGGAAATTGTCGCGCTTAATTGCCCTCTCGCTGCCCGATCGATTGTGAATTCTCCCGAACGGTCAACGGCCATTGATCGCCGATGCCCAGGCCTTTAACACGCAACCGCTAAAGGCTTGAATCGAGCGGCGAGCTGTTTGTTTATCTTTCTTTACGATGGTAAATAAGGAAGGATCGAGATTCATTTTGCCATTCGGATTTTCTCTCTCTCTCTCTCTCTCTCTCTCTCTCTCTCGGGCGCGCGCGTTCGTTGCATAGGACGCGGTGACGAATCGTTTTACCGTTTGGCACGATGCGGAGCCCGAGGAGGAAGCGAGCGCATCTCCCGCGCGCACCTGCGCCGAGAGAATCGAATTTATTCCGTCTGTTGAGGAGCGCGGAGAAATACGAGACTAGGTATTACGTCAATTAGCCGCGCGCGCTCGCGCGGGATGGAGATGTGTGGTCATATATGAAATTACGTGGAACCTCGCTGCCGGTGTTTACCCGACAATAAGCCTTTTATGCAACGCGTCGCAAAATTCTTCACCCGTCCCAGAAAATTCTCGTCGATTCGATCCTCTCGCGATAACGAACGCATTACGTTGCAAAATCGTGCTCGCGTGTAACTCGGCGATACACACACTTTTTCACATTCGCTTCTTTTCTTTTCCTCTGCTCAAGTGTAATGATGATTATGTATTTTTCTCTCTCTCTCTTTCTCTGTCTATCTCTCTATTTTTGTTATAAAGCGAAACATGTGCGAGAGCGAAAAAAGAGTGAGTGAGTGGGAAGGGAAAGGGGAAAAGGAATTAAGAGAGGAAGAAATAGTCTCGCGCGAGGAAAGCAGCTTCTCAAGGGGTTGCCCGTTTATTTTCAGATCGCGCGCCCAGCGAAGGGGATCAACGTCGGTGCAGAAACAGCACGCCCCTGCCACTTCCCGGCTCGCTTACCACCAACGGAGAAGGTAACTATGTCTTCAAGGTTATACGTACCCCATATGTTCACCGACCCCGACGACGAGAGATATACGGGGCGTCCCTTCCCCGTTGAGTCGTTTTAACCATAATAGATCGTTGGAGTTGCGACCGACGTAAAATTTTGGAAAAGTAAGACGATCCGTCTCTCGAATGTGTCACGTACAACCTTTCTTTCTTTCTTTATCTTCGGAATAATCGGTGAGACCTATCGGTCGATCCCCGGAGGTGCCTCTGAACCTAACGTCATTGATCGATGACTACGCCTACGTCCACGTGGTTAACCTTGATCGGCGCCACGATCGGTTTTCTTCCCGTGCACGTTTTCTTCGCTTCCCCTATCTGAGAAAAATGAGAGCGGGTTTAATTTTAAGCGTGCTTCTTTCCCCTTTCGAATCGCGGCGAGTTACGAGAGTGTATAATCGCGATTCAAGTTAATTTTACACTTGCAGATATATGAGTCTCACATGCGCGCTAAGATTCGAGTAAATCTTCTTTTCTTTTACCATAATATATTTTCGAAAAGAAAATTTCTTTTTATATGTATAATAGAAATTAGAATTCTTACATATTTACTTTACAATACGCCCTGTATAATAAAAGATAATGACTTATCTTTTAATCCTCCCTGGAGGATTTTCTCTCGAAAGGACGGGATAATGTTTTTACAATGTCGACCGGCGGTCACCGAAGAAATTTCCTCAGCCACGCACACGTTCCACGGGGCTGACGCGCACGTAGCTTTTCACGCATGACGCACCGCACGGATCGCGGACTCGTCGTTTTTCGGGCCGCTCTCGGGCCGCTCTCGTGTTGCCGCTTCGTGGAACGCCTGAAACGCTTTTGGCCCCGGCCAGAAGCAGGAAAGTGAGCGCGCTCTGCTCTCTCGCCGCCGCCACCGCCGCCTCGCACGACGATTACTCTCGTTTCTCCGCAACGTCGTTCAATAATTTTCTACTCGTTGCGCCATCGGGCCGAGTATACGAAATTTTTTTCCCCGATAAATCGAAAGCGCGTATGGTATTCGCGATAAGGAAATAGTTTGCATGAATAAAAGAAAAAAAAATACATGTAAGAAAACTGGTTATAATGATCAAGTATATACGCGTATTTATTTGTTTATTTAGTTGTTTATACTTATATTAACCTATTTTAAAAGAATATTTCAATAGGCAGATTCGAATTGTACGTTCCACCAAGAGATGTAATCTGATCTGTGGGATTAAGTCTTTATATAAACGTATGGACGACTTTGTTCATTCTCGATTGATCGCGAATTCTCATACCGGTGAAGAAAAACAAATTAATTATAATATTCGCGACGACAACGGCAAGTTTTTTCTCTCGTGCGTCGAGGTCTTTACTTTTACTATCTGCCTTTGCCAATGCAAACGCCGCTACTCTAACGACGTCAAGCATTCCCAAGCTGACAGCAAATTGCGCTTGTGTACCCGGCGCGTCTCGCGATTTTACTGGAGTGAGTAAGAGACGACGTCGTGTGTTCACGCATTTAATCCGAGAGTAATCGTGTAGAACGTAATTTATCCCAGCAATTTCAAAGAGATTGCGAGAACGTCGTTTATATTGTAATAGCGTAAACTCTGCCAAAGCAAATCCTTTGGATGCTTTAATTCTTTTAAATTACGTTTCAATTGCGTGAACTTTTAAATTCCATTATATTGAATTATTTTACTTTTAATTTGTTTTTACTTTAAATCCTTTTTTATCTTTTATATTTATTTATAGTATTTTATGGATTTTATTTTATTTTATTTTTTAAATAAGGCAAGTACTGTTGAAATTGCCAATAAAAATATAAAAACATAAAAATTACGAGTATATTTTCTTTGTAATAAGAAAAAAAATGTATGAGCATTTCTCGGACTTGGAATTTCTGAGATTTCGTATAGCGGCATTAAAAAGACGCGTGCGCGTTTGACCTGTCGCCACGGCAGATCCATTTACCGGAAACGAGAATCATCCTGACGCGAATGCACTTTCGTCGGCTTAGCGAATGTCGCGTATATTCGCGCGATGTTGAGCGGCGGCAATATAATACCGCGACACGCGTGAAGTTTAGAGCACCGAAGATGACACGGAATCGTAAACACGCACGCGCGGTTGTCTTTTTATTTGAGCCAGTTATATAGATAGAACGTTGCTTCCGGGAGAGCACAGAAATATCAGAATTCGATCGAGCGTCTTCCAACTCCGACACCGCAACCGTCGAATCTCTCTTCAAGGCTCTCTCAACTCGGAGGCTCCATTCATTCCTTTTCACGTTTTCATGTAAATTCATCGATAGACATACCAGTTATAAGTTGTATATGTGTATTAAAAAAAAATGAGGGGAGATATTTTTCACCATTTATCGACGCAGTTCGATAGCTTCGACAATTTGTTTATCCAACAATCGCTCCTCAATATTCGATCTGAAATTTTCTACTGCGTGAAATATACGAGCGACCAGAGTCCGTCGTCGATCCATCAAACGATGCGTCGTTCGGGCGCAGGCTGCTGCATCTGCCGCATCAGGACGAGGGGAAGAAGAAGGCCGCGGCAGGAACGCGGGTAGGAAAGGAAGGGGGTTAGAGGGGAAAGCCGGCTCCCGGGATGCAGGCAGGTTTGAGAATGGCACGATAGGTCGGTCGGCTAAGGTGGGTGGCATTCGGCGCGACTGTTTGAGGGAACAGGGGGACCCCTGGCGCCAGACAGCTGCCGCGTGTCTCGACCTCGCTCGCGCTAGCTCGTTCGCCTGTGTGCGCGCCTTCTCGGCTCCTCTCCTCTCGCCTCTCCTCACCCGTCGCGCCGTGCCCGCGCGACTCTCCTCTCATCGCCTCGCCTCGCTCCTCGTATACCCACATACATATACGGTCTATACGTTGTATGCACGTGTATGCGCCTACGTGCCCGACTTGGTTTGCTATTTTATTGATTTATTTTGGCGCTAGGTCTCTCTCTCTCTCTCTCTCTCTCTCTCTCTCTTTCTTTTTCTCTGTGCTGCTTGCTTTGGACGTCCGTCGTCGTGCTGCCTTCGGCCGACGATCGATCGAAATGCGTCGTCGGTTTCGACTCTCGAGAATCTCGAGCGCAGAGTCGCGCCGACGAAGAGAACGTTGTTGAACTTAGTTTCCGAGATTCTCACATAATTGTGACTCTGAAAATATTAACCTCTGGAAATCTTAAACTTCACGCGAATGCACTTTCATAATTCTTAAAAACAGAGCAATACAAATTCTAAATGAAATTTGTGAAAAATTTACATGCAAAAATAGCGGTTTAATTTTTTCTTATATTTATATATTAAGTAATATAGTTTTGATTACTAGTTTTGTAACCTGCCCCTCATTTAAAATATTCTGAATCATAAAACTATTATTTAGTTCAAGAATTTTATAATTTATATAAATAATATAATATAAATAATATAATATTTATATGATATAACTGAAGTTGAGAATGAGATTTATGTTCTTTTTTTTCATTATAATGTATATCTTATGCTATTATTACATCTATTGTATTACTGTCATCACATTTTCATCACGCTAGTCATATTCAACTATTCTGTTCTATTGTCTCTTATAAAAATTGTCAACGCGCCGAGCAGAAACACGGCTACCGCATGGTCAATTATCTCTCGCATTCGCGCAAGCATGAAGCACACTCTCGATTTCCGCGCATTACACGACGATAAATTGTCCACCTACATATACGTGTGCAGCCACGGCTCGGGGAGCCGTGTGTAGCTCGATAATCCGTTGCGCGCGAATATTTTACGATAGGTAGGTTCGGGGATTGCAACATGTTGCGTGTGGGTGCTGCCCCGCGTGTGCGGAGGAGAGGCACGTGGATATATCCCGGCATATACGGCGAGAGCAACAGGTTGCTCGTGTCCGTTTCCTCTTCTCCGCCGCGACGTCGCCGTCGGTCCGGGGCAACACCCTTCACCGCATCCCTTCTGAATGGGGCGAGCCACTGGCTGGCGCCATCCCTTGGTGCGATATAGCCGAGGTAAACAGACGGGACTCCCATTCATTGGATCCCGGAACGACTTTTCTGAATTGGGATCCCGCCGAGGTTGTTGTTCTTTGACTCTCGCGGGAACAAAAGCGTGAATACACAGGCGGCGTCCTCGTAACTTTCTGCCCTTGAATCAACCGTGTAACGTTTTCCTCTGGGCTAAACTTCCGGCGAAGCTAAACTGCCTTATTCGGCCCGGTTCCACAAATGTAAGATTAACATTAATCTCTCTTTAACTTATTACTGTTTATCTCTTCCTAATTCTTAGAAAAAAGATAAAACGAATTGAAGGTCGATTAAATCGAGTTAATCGCAAATTGTGAAACCGTGCTTTATAAAAAATCAAATATCAAATTTTATATATATATATATATATATATATATATATATAGGTATATATATATATGTATAGTCGGTCGGTATTGCATCAGGTCACAAGTCACGGACTGTCGCGAACAAAATCGTCTGTTATTCTACTGGTTTTTGTGTCGGTTTCAAAATAGTTGCATCTCTCGTACGTCACGGGTGTGACCCGTGCGAGAGGAGCAAGGTCGCTGCAACAGTCTGGCGGAGAAGCCGGATCGAAGTTTTTAAAGGGGAGAGATTTGTGTTGGGGAGATGTATCGGGGAGATGAGAAATGCGGATGCGGGCGCGATGATCTTCCGTAATGTAACTCGCGTGAAGTCAACGAGTTGCATGAAACGTAACATACGGGGTCTTTTCCCCCGATCTCGGAACACGCAGTCGAAGAGCTAATCGTGGATAACGACGCGAGCGCGCGGCGATAATGATACGCTTTTCAGAAGGTAGTCGTGACGAGCGAGGAAAGAATTTTTACGCAGCCGTTAGCTTTAAGAGTTAACGGTTCGTTAAGCGGGAAAACAAGTAGACGAGTTAAAGCGCTTCAATTAGCGGCCTCGGTGCGTTCGGTCGCTAGGTCTATCATTTCTAGACTTTGCCGTGATT